TATATTACTAGCTGTAGTCCTCAAGTTTGCCCAAACAATAAACTTCCTTTGAAATACAGGTTATCGTTGTTATAAAATCTGTTAGTTAAACAGAAGTCTAAGTTTCATCTTCTGACAACACATTCATGCGATTAAAAGTTCCGTCAAAATAGGTTTAGTCATTCTAGAGATTAGTTGGAATGAACAGACACAAGATCCAACAGACGGACATATTAAAATTGCATTTTCGATGTAGGTATTTTTTATACCTAAGTATACGGTTATGGAAAACTGTTGATTTGTACTTACTAATAGCTCTTGAATCATATTTACTCGTATTTTGTACAGTTAGAAGCTGTTTAAAATCGTATCCGGCTTAAATAATAAATTGGTAAACGTTAAAACTAAATGACATACTGATATTAAAATGAATATTAACTGAGAGTTACTGTATATATAACGCATAAAAAAAATTCTTAAAAGAAAGTGGCATAATATGCATAGATAATTTTAGACACATCAAAAATATATATTAACAAATATTTGATTAAAATATATGTAAAATGATTTTATTAAAATTATTGTACACTTATAGGTACCTATATATAATTATATTATTTTATGTTATTTATCTGTGTAATTTTATTCTACGTAATAATTCATCAAACACATCCTTAATAAGGAGTTAAATATTATCTTCTCAGGGCTGTAATAAAATTCACATCTGAGTCTTTACACATCAAATATTTTCTTTGTTGTAACATGACTGTAAGTTCAAAAACCTAAGGCCGTCCATGACACATAAATTACAATCTGTACTTGACAAAGAGCTGAAGAGAAAGATACTTGTCATGCATACCAATAGCTAGTTGGATAAAATCCATCATAATGCCAAGCCACATACTATAATGATAGTTTTTCTAATAGAATACATAATGAAATGAATTTTCCATACATTGCTATTCTTAATTAAGTAACCTTTGTAACTCATACTCGTCGTTAATAAATCATAATCTGACAGTATTTATTATTGCTGGGTTTTAATAAAATAATTTATGGAAATTAAAATATGATTGTGGATTTTTTCAATCATTTATTTTTTTATTAAAAACATTAACACATAACTTCTTCTTCCTGGCAATTTCCCAGCTTTAGTCAGGGTCTGCCTAACATGTTGTAGATAGATTTCTTTTTTACACGTCAAAAATTTTCTTATATGTATTTATAACTGTGGGTATAATACTTACTCATTAATTAAGTGCTCCCTAGTAATCGCATTCTATATAATAACATATTGCTATCATTAAATTTAATAATAAAAAGCCTCTAATATACATTAACATAGATTTTGTATGTTAGTTCGCGTTCCTAATTTGGTTCCAACGACTTGTGAGTTGACCTGACCGACTCCACCGTTACGTCGTGCAAGGCGACAGCTTGCTTTACTAATGCTCGGAGTAATGATTTTACAATCACGCAAGTCAATCATATGTAACAAGAAAAACTCATTACAGCAAAGTTTTTCCATTAAGATTGATACGTTTTTTTATATTCAGTATAACCATTATTTTTTAATACAATGCAAGAATCGACTTTAGTCAGACTAATGCTAAATCAAAATGATAATCATGTTTATTTTTGCAGTTTGCTTAGTGAGATATTTGAAGTAATTTATTCATATGTATACAAAGATATCTGCACGCACTGGGTGCCTTCGATATCTTATGAAAATTCAAGGAAGACAATTTACGTCACAAACTTAACATCGTATTGCATACAAAGTTACGAAAGCTCTCACGGAATATTAATTAAGTTGGTATTTAAGTATGTAATGATTGTTGCTAAGCAGATACATTCTACACTCTCCTTTTTACGGTTAAAATATTTGTTAAAGGTAATATATGTATGCCTTCTTTATATTTCCTCGTACTTTATAGAAACAAAAACTTTTAAACATTATTATGTGAACATACCTATTTTTCAAAATTTAAGTGATAAATTATACTTCATAATTACTAAAAACACCAAAAGAACTAGTTACTTCAAGGTCAAATTTCATAATTGGACGTTATTAATTGCAAATGACAGTATTTTGCAAATTTGTTATAAAATATTAACCATGTATCATACCGGTAGAGTGATGAAACCTTATTTATAGCGTTGACAGATCGTCATCACAAGGATATTTGGTAATATAAAGTAAAATGAGGTTGAACTAAAGAGTTCTAATTAGTTAGAGAATCATACTAGTGCTGACAGATAAAAAATAATTGTAATATGGATGTAGAATCGAAATTATATAGGTTTCCATTAATGTGTAATGAATATATGCCATATGTTGGTGTTAATTGAAGCATAAATATTTTCGTTTAAAAATACGTCAGAAAAAGATTAATCATCGCTGTTTAAATAAACGTTTAAAAAACTAAATAAGACGCCGCCATATTTGGTCGGAGTGGTTTATATAGGTACGCTAATATTTATTTTTCCCATAATGAATTGTAAATTTGGACATAACGTCTTGTTTATGAAGATTGTTGACATTTCCTCGTATATCACAAATATTCTCGGAATCAAGATTCGATCTTTTTCGAAAGTTACCTACTGCGACATTAGGTAATAGAATTATAATGTCACATAAAAACTGATGTATTAAGTAATGTTATTAAACATTTTTATATATCTCTTATCTCTTAAATACCTTGATAGGACACAACTTTAGAAGTAATCGAAGGTCGATGGAAGAAATTACCGTTTTATTAATTTTCTAATGTTATACAACTTTTTTTTAATACTACGTCAGTAATCAACTTTTAAACTAAAAGTGAGAAAAAAAGTAACGATTTCGCAAAACAAATAAGTATAAATTATGTTCAAAGTTCAGATTCACTTATGTTTAATTTACAACTCTACTTTTTCAGTGAAATTTTTTCTGTCTTCAATAAAATATTGTTGATTTTAAACATATTTTTTTATTATAATTACTTAGATAATAAGATTTCAATAGAGTCTACCGTATGCCTAGACGAAATTATTACACTGGATATATACATATAAATATATGTATTTATACATATTAAATATATGGGATACATTTAAATGTAGTTCTTATTAGAAAAAAAAGAAGAACCCTTTATGTATTACGTGCAAGATTTTCTTTCTTATTATTTGAAATATTTATCGGTATATTATCAAGTCTCCTTTATGCAAAAAAAAGTTTGTAAAGACATTGATCTCACAACTTCGTAATATTATAATGTAATATAGATTATGAAATACATATACATTAATTTTAAAGATAATAAAACTAAAAAAATATTTATGGCTTATAAAATAATTAAAATGTAATTATGAACTATAAATTTTAATATATTAGACACACCACTATCGCATTTAAGTAATTTTTTTTTCATCTAGATACTAGAAATATGAATGATATAATAGATATATTATAAAACTGTTTTTAATATCCATTCGATGTTAAAAACTTATCCTAATTTATATTACTTTAATGATGAATGTGTGAAAATACGAACTAGTAATCTTTTATACTAGCTTAAAGTGATGTCAACATTATTAAAAAAACAGCTACATATGTACATTTTAATTTAAATTTTCCTTAGAAATAAGGGTGAACTTAACTTCAACCTAAGTTAAGCAATTTGATTTAACATAAAGTTATTAAAATAAAAGGCAAAAATTTTAATAATCATTACGTGTTCAATAACATTTGATTAGGAATTATTTGTTAATATATTTAACAACAGTTTGATATGAAACCATATTTAGGTATGTATATGAATAGGTAAAAACCGGTAAGCTTTGGTTTCACTATCGATTTGAAATACTTTTACTAATATTGTACTTTCACTTTCCAAGCAGCAAAAACATATCGCGTGACTTAGAATAAGTTGTAGCTCACGTCGATGAGACAAGGATGATAATATTAATAAAAAACCCATAAACAACAGAACAGACTCTTCAATTCTTTAAATTAGTTTTTTTTAATGAAATCCTAATAGTTTGAAAGAATTCGTTTATGTAATAGAAATTTATTAAGTTATTTCGGCTAAAAATACTTACGTCGAGGATAAGTTAATGCTTATATTTTTCTATTTCATTTTATTTACATATTTAATAAAGTTTTGTGTATGGAGTTCTAATTTCTAAAAAAATATAGTTTTTGTTCTCATTATATATTCAAAATATATAAGTTACCTCTACGGACAGTGCCGGCGTTAGGGGGGGGGGGGGGGCGATGGGGCGACGGCCCAGGGCGCCAAATTTGGGGGGGGGCGATTATAGGGCGAAGATGGTAGATGGAATATAGAATTCTTAATACACGTTCAGTGTTCACATTGGTTCAGAAAAAAATTAATACTCGATTTTGATTTCTTCAAGTGGGTGCCAAAATATTCTTGCCCAGGGTGTCAGTCCCTCCAACGCGTTGCAACGTTGCAACGTTGCAACGCCGGCACTGTCTAGGGAAATTAAAGTTAACATCCGATATTTTAATGTTTTATTTCTAAAAACACAAATATGTGAAATAAATGCACATACCTAATATGAAATATGGACAAATTAAAGAGTAATGACGTTAAACCACAAATGTATTTTTTTTGTGAGTGAGGATTAGCGTTAACTCAACAATTTTTATAGGTATACTTTTTGTAGTGATGATGAGTCGAGTTTGAATGTTTGAAGTTTGCTATACCCTATAGAGGTCATTTATTTTTTAGCCTCTGAGAAGACACTTCAGTGTTTTCCCAGCCACTTCTTTAGTTACTGTGTTATAAAATTATAGGCAGACACGCAAACAAACATTCTTATTTTTAATATCAATAGAAATTACCAAATCCGACGGCGAAAAGCGAATACGTGATTTTCTTAGATATTAACATAACATTAAACACTATTGTGGTTGTTTTCAGGTCATCTTAAAACAAAATGAGTTAGTGCAAAAACAAAAGATCAAGTTAGTTGCCATCCATTGTTACTGAAGAATAAGAAGTCATAACAAGATGTCAAATGTCGAGACTAATAACAATATGAAACAGGTATGTTTAAATACAGTAATTGTATGAATATGATGTATTAGTAAAATTTTATGACTCTATGATCTTTTATCCCTACTAATATTATAAATGCGAAAGTAACTCTGTCTGTCTGTCTGTCTGTCTGTCTGCTACGCTTTCACGCCTAAACCACTGAACTGATTTTAATGAAATTCGGTACAGAGATAGAGTTGACCTTGAGAAAGAACATAGGATAGTTTTTATCCCAGACTTTTGAAAGGTTCTCTTGGAAACGCGATATAACCGAACTCCACGAGGCGAAGCTGCGGGCGGAAAGCTAGTGTAAAATAAATGACGAAACATATTACGATACTTGATTTTTTATTCAAAACTATACAAAAGATATTTATAGAATTGCTTATGTTCATGTAACAAAAAAAAACAAGTGATGGTTTTTGTACATTACTATTAAGACCTGAATATGAATTTATTATTATCAAAATCGTTTTCCTTGATACAATATGACGACGACAGGTAATTATAAAAAAGTCAAGTAACAGAGTTAACACGTCAATAAAACAAAACAGTAATACATACATACGATTGTATACGTACATGATCCATTGTACTGTCAATAATAAAAAATTACGATCCGTATATCAGGTCCGCTTTTTTCTATATGAAATTCTAAAAAAAAATAAATTAAACCAAGCATAAATATAAATATACCTTTAATATAAATCGGACTTCGCAAATACGTATTGAAACAAAAACTTAAATAAGAGTTTAATTAGCTTATTCTGAGTTTTGGATCGTAACATTTATACGAATCATTGGCCATCTCACATCCAATAATCCCTCTTAATACAATGATGTGCAAGGATTTAACTAATGAAAACATCTGTTTATAGTGTGATGAAGGTAACAACAAGTGAGACTAATCATAGAATGAAATAAAAAAATATATAATGAATACTATACTTACCATAAATTTTGAATCTTCCAACTACATACGGGGCGTATTTAGTGCGTTGATATGTAAATGGCATTAATAATTACGATAATTTTACTTTACGGACATATCCATTGTCTGTAAAATGTTACGTGCCGATATACAACTAATAGTGAATTATTTACAGTAATGTACATTTAGACTCTCAGACCGTTATCTTATCATACCGGCGTGCGATAAATGTCTACTAGTTACATTGATATTGTCATTAACTGTTTGTGTTGTATTCTAGGAGAAGGTACAGGACGTTGAAAAGGGTAAAAGTAAAGAAAGTAAATCAACTGCAACTTGGTTAAAGATCCTAATAATGATATTCGCCCTGGCCGTGTGGGGTGCGGCGACGGCTGTGATTTGGATTTTAGTGAGCTGGCAGGCAGCTGTGGGAGTTTGTGCCGGTATATTTGTTGTATACATTATAGCCTACTTCTATCATTGGCTCTGGGTTGCTGTCAGAACTGCGCCGAGAGATTTCAAGTAAGTTTATCTTCTAAAAATGTATGATTATTAGAAAAAATAAACGTAATAATGTAACTCGTATCAATGTAAAATCAGTTTTGTTTTCTTAATTTCTGGGCAGCATTGTTCTCGACTTGCATTGTTGTTTGTAACAAAGAATTAAAGTTTTTAAGTTATTTTTTATTTAAGAAAATATTTGTGATCAATCATTATGAGATATTATCGGTTATAAGCATTTTTAGTTTATACAAAGATTATTTTTTCAGGGCACTGTACTGCTATATCAAGATCTTAAGACTGTCAAGTAACTTAACAAAGAAAAATTGGTCTATGCCAGATATCTTCCACGACATAGTCAAGAAGCATCCGAAGAAAGCCTGCTTTCTTTTTGAAGATGAAGTATGGACATTCCAACAGGTATAAAAAAACCCTAATAATTATTACTCAAGGTCAAGATTCTGATGGTTTAAATAGTCTCAGACCCTAAACCTATCATTTTATTAGGACATGATATTATTTATACTCCTTTTAAGTAAAATTACAATCAATGAGGTTCAACCTATATTCAAAACCTGTTGTTAAATTATTTTAACCTTGTCCGAGCCCTAAATGACAAAACGACAGTTATTGCGCAAAACGAAAATATTATCTGCATTTACGTATAACAACGGCATACATTGTTTTCATATAATTTCATGCTTCGCAGAACAGCATAGTTGAAACATTTATTTTAGTATTTTGATACTGAGAATCCAAAAAAATTATACTTAATTATTTATGAGGGTGGAAACAGTCAATCAATTTATATAGCGCCATAAACAGCGTAAAGATTAAATCTTGATCCTGATTTAGGCCAACGTGAAAGTATGCCGGCGTCCGTTGTTATTACTGGGTTAAATTTTAATCTATCTGACTCACGACACGGTGAAAGTTATAAAACCAGTCCAACCTTTAGTACTACCATAAATTTGAAAAAGTATCTAATATCTCGTTAATAAACATTTCAAAGATATATGCTAAATTATGTGTAAAATTTTAAACCTGTATTTATTTCCTAGGTGGAAGAATTCAGTCTTCGGGTGTCAGCTGTTTTAAGGGCGCAAGGTGTCCGTAAGGGAGACACGGTAGCTCTAATGGCCAGTAATTACCCCGAGATGCCCGCTACCTGGCTCGGTATTACACGCATTGGAGCAGTTGCTCCACTTATTAACACAAATCAAACAGGGAACACTTTACTTCACTCCATTAACATAGCCAAATGCGACTATGTTATTTATGGAAGCGAATTCGAGTCAGGTAAATTTTGATGATTAATTATAATTCATGAATTATTTTTATCTTAAAGACTATATTTATTACAAAAATATATTGTTTCCAGCCATACAAGATGTAAGAAAAGATATACCAAATAATATTAAGTTATTGAAATTTACTCGTCGGCCCTTAAATGCTAGTGATGGTATGAAGACTGCTGAAGCACCAGAAGACTTCACTCACATGTTGGAGACCACCCCACCAGCACCTTGGTCACTCTCCGAAGGCGAAGGTTTCCTCGGAAAATTATTGTATATATATACTTCTGGCACAACTGGATTACCTAAAGCAGCAGTCATTTCTCCTTCCAGGTATTCTGACGCCTATTTAGTATTTCTTTTAAGCTGTTATACAGTTCTAATTTACTTTCAGTCATAGACATAATGAAAAGAAAGACAGTTACAATGTTTTTTTTTACCAAAATGTTTATAATCTACAAAAAAATTACGACCTATTTCCAGGATGGTGTTCATGGCGTCGGGAGTTCACTTTTTGGGAGGTTTAAATAGAAAAGACGTTATATACTGCCCCATGCCTCTGTACCATTCAGCTGGGGGAGTTATAACTATGGGTCAGGCGATGATCTTTGGATGTACCGTTGCATTAAAATTAAAGTTCTCCGCCTCAGCGTATTTCCCTGATTGTATTAAATATAAGGCCACTGTAAGTTTTATTGCACTATATTAGACCACTTTACAATTAACATGCAATTAGTTGTATATTTATGATTACATAGTACAGACAAAGCTTGTAGATAATTCTGAGACTTTATGGCTTCCGTTGGTAGCAATGAGTTACATGTGTTATAAATAGAATTTCTACAAAATAAGAAGGTTGTGCTTCACAGTTCACACCCCCGGAATTGTCCCAATTCAACCAAAATTTTCAATTATACTAATTGTACCAATGATTTCACAATCACTTCTACCGTATTGAATGGTAGTTATGAATACTTTATTTCATTATTGAGATCCAATTTTTTCGTGGTAATTGCAAAATTTACAATATCTCTATATTAATAAATTTAATACAATTCACTCCATTATCTTATCCATAATAGACATTATTCATAGCAGACAAGAAATTCTAGTAAACACAAATTGTTTCTTACTCTATAATGAGTGTTATGCAACACACATAATAGATTTTATTTGTATATTTATTTCCAGGCGGCGCACTACATTGGTGAGATGTGTCGGTATGTGTTGGCGACTCCACCATCACCCAACGACAGGAAGCATACTGTACGATGTGTTTACGGCAATGGAATGAGGCCTACGGTTGGTTACTAACTGAATTTAATTTAAGACGATTAGCTTGTTGCATCAAAAATATAACAAAAAAATCTTAAAATTATCTAAACAAAACCTCCCTTTTTCAGATCTGGATGGATTTCGTTAACCGTTTCGGTATAAAGAGAGTAGCAGAATTTTATGGTGCTACAGAAGGAAATGCAAATATCGGTAAAAAGACTTTTAGAGTTTTTATATATTTCTATATACATATGTTTGCAATATTTTAAAATTTCATTTATATTTCAGTCAATATTGACAGCAAGCCAGGCGCTATTGGATTCATTTCACGTATCATCCCAGCTGTTTACCCAATAGCTATTATTAAAGTCGATGAAGACACAGGGGAACCAATAAGAGACTCACGAGGATTGTGTCAGGTGATTATAAAAATAGAGACGAAACGTCTCATCGTGCCAGGTCTATAGCATTGCAGGGAGAGGAGTTTCAATAGTGCCTAGGACTTGTGACCCAGGTGTTGGTTTAAGGCGCCCATATCTCACACGTTTTATAGACACTTCCATTGTTGAAGCTTCTCTCTCTACCTCACCAAATTTGAAACGAACTTACTAGGGCTGCCTCCCCAGTACGTTCTAAGTATTAATTGATGTTAGTTCCGGACAGGCCCAAGTCTTTTAGTACGTTGAAGAGAGATTTAGTTATTATACCTGTCGCTACCACTTATATTGCGTACAAAATTTACTAAAAAACTCACTAACGAACTCAGTAAGAATAGATTTATATTCTTACTGAGTTCGTTAGTGATTTTTTTTAGATTCGATATAGGTTTTAAGGACTAATTTTGTTAACAGACAGCCAAACCTTACGAGCCAGGTGTATTCATTGGCAAAATAAAACCGAACAATCCGTCACGTGCTTTCCTTGGATATGTTGATAAAGAAGCTTCTGAAAAGAAAATTGTCAGAGATGTTCTTGAACATGGCGATTCGGCGTTTATTTCCGGTGAGTAATAAGTTTCTACTTACTCATGATTATAATTCGTCCTACAAATTAAAATGTTGACATTGCACAATGTTCCACGATTCCAGTGCGAATGAAGCCATAGCACAAAAAAGTAGTAATAAGAAGTACCAAAGTTGCAGAAACAATAGATGAACATAATTTATGCATAGTTAGGCGTTAATTCGTAAATAATTATTATTAGACAGTATATGCCAATAAATGAGAATATGTGTGACATAAACTAAATTCATATATGTAATACAATATTTAGTAGTAGCTTCTGATTATATGTTTGTTATAAACAGGTGATATTCTCGTGGCGGACGAACTTGGCTACTTATACTTCCGTGACCGTACCGGAGACACGTTCAGGTGGCGCGGAGAGAACGTTAGCACCACGGAGGTTGAGGCTGCCATCTCTAGAGTCGCTGATCAAAGGGATGCCGTTGTTTATGGAGTGGAGGTAAAGTATACTCAAGTACTTAAGTACCAGTACAAACTAACAACTTCGTCTGTTTTGAAAAACAAATTTGATTTAGAATGAGATACACTTCAAAAAAGTCAATATGTTACCCAGTATCTACTAAATTGATAGCAGCTATGGTTTGTGACACGTAGATTCAAAATAAATACAAATTGCATGTCGTATTTCTTTTTTGAATATTTTATAATCTATATTTTTTTTATGACCACATGATTGGAAAGTTTTATTAAATTCTGTATAGACACACTGTGTTTAAGGGCAATCAACTTTCATACATCACATACTCCTAAATTCTCCCGTTTATAGTTTTACAATTGTATTTTTCTTGTTTTTTAGATACCAAATACTGACGGTCGAGCGGGAATGTGTGGAATCGTGGATGCAGATGGAACATTGGATTTAGAAAAACTCGCTAAAGATATTGCAAAAGACCTACCAAAATATGCCAGACCCATTTTTATAAGAATTATGCATTCGATGGATATGACGGGTAAGACTGATATTTTGAATTATGTAATAAATCGGATAAAAAATATATATACTTAGTTTTGTAATACATAATTACAATAAATTTAACAACTCGTTTAAGATTATCTTATATTTCAGCGTCGGTAAATTAATAATGCCTTGTACTTTATATTCCAGCTACTTTCAAACTGAGAAAAGTTGACTTACAAAAAGAAGGATATAATCCGAACACTGTCAAAGACAAACTGTATTACTTGGATCCGAAACACAACAAATACATAAGTCTCGGCCCTGAAGAATATGAAAAAATAATATCCGGACAAATAAGACTGTGATTTCCTTTATGTAATAATATTGTTACAGTGCCTTTTTATATTTAATGTTTAATATTATATAAATGTTTATAGTAATAAAGATGTTGTTGTTTTGACTGAGTTTGTATGGCTTATTACAATTGCAAAAATTTTACCGGCCATATTTTTTTAATAATGAACAAGGTAATATCATTTTATACAGTGTGTATGTTTATATTAAAAAAAGACTATTATTATTATATAAGGGTTGTCCATGTTTTTAAAAAACATGAAATATAACGGGTTATAAAAAATACATATATTTGTTTGTTTCTAAATGATGTTGTTGTTAACTTGAACAAATTAACATTGAAATACATCATAAATTCAAATATTGAAAAATAATGTGACAATGGTTTAATTACATCAACTCAGGATTGCACGAATGAAGATGAGAATCAATTCTTGATTTATATGTTTCTTACGAATAGCAAAAACAACATTGTAGTTAACAAATATACTAATATGTAATAAAAAATTATAATTTTTCACTGTAAAATTTTTATTGATTATTATATACGTAAAATTTTGTTTCGGTTCCGACACTGCAAAGTTGTCATCTTTACACCTTTTATTTTGAATTGAAATTAAACAAAATAACTTTTTCCAATATACTTTATTTATTTCAGTCTTAAATTAAATATATATAATATTGTAATATCCAAATATAATTTAACAAGTTTAAAAAAATAGCAAAGATTTTAACTTGTGACATTGACAACTACATTTCTCTGACAAATTCATAAGTGTCAAGTAGCTAAGTCAGCTGTATAGCAAATTGCCAATGCTAGTGTATAATATTTTAATGACATCATAATATAAAGTGATTTGCTTATTAATTTATTCAATGATTACTTAAACATTAGAGAAATTCAATGTCACAATACGACGTGTTTAGTTTAATTTTAAAGTAAAAAATGCATAGGTGAAAATAATTCCTTGAAGTGTAATTGAAATACTCTTGAATTTTTATGGGATTTGCATTTAAAATATTTTAAACATTTGAAAAAAAAATACCAAGCAAATTGCATCGAATATTATATCATAAAGGTGCGTGAAGTCTTCGCGCGAAAATTACGTCGTCATAATAAACTCGTCAAAGTTGCACGAAGAAATCACGTTAGGCCGCCGACGAGTCCGTTTCTCAGTGAACCGCGTCTCGTGGCGCAAAGCAGTTGCGATGTTGGCAATAATCAGTGTCGGAGTTGCGGTACTCGCCGCTTTGGTGTATATTGGATTTACAAAAACACTTCTAGTGTCTGGCGTTCTAGCTGTTCTCTATACACTTAAATATCACAAACGATGGTGTTATGTCGCCCTTAAAACTGCTCCGAGAGATCTAAGGTATTAATGACCCTAAAATCCTGTTTAATACATATGACCTCACAAACTTTAAACATAAACAAATTTATGTTATTACAATAAATCTCAAAAATTGTTAATTATGGTGTCAATATTATATGTTTTGTATTTAGTTTTATTATCATAATATTTATAACATAATTTGCAAAATTTTGGTCAGATCTAATTGGACTTAAGTCAATAGTAACAATAATTACATGTGACAGCCAATCAGAAAAGAGTTACTTGATATGTTTAATAAGGTTGAAGTTCAAAACATTTGGACTTAGTCACATATATTTTTACAAAATAGTGGACTATATGATAAAATGTAGAACATAATTTATAAAAATACCTTTTCATATCTAAGTGGAAATTAAAATATACTTGTGATAAAAAAAGTCAATTTAATTTTTATAACATACATAATATTTATTTTTAGAGCCCTTTATTGTTATATAAAGATATTATTAATAACAAGAAAATTCATGAGAAAAGATTACACTGTACCAGACATATTCCATGAAATTGTGCTGAAGCATCCTAAAAAACCATGCTTCTTGTTACAAGATGAAGTATGGACATTTGAAGAGGTAAGACCTTTTTCCAACAAAAACTATTTACGATTTTATATAAAGAAATATGAGTACAAACACATGGATTTACTTAAACTAATAATTTATAAGATAAAATTTAATTGGTTTAAATTTTTATTAGATGTTTTTACTTTTTATATATACTTCAGGTTGAAGAGTTCAGTTTGAGAGTAACAGCTGTACTAAAATCAAAAGGTGTTAAAAAAGGTGACATAGTTGGTCTTCTCGTGAACAACAGTCCTCAAATGCCAGCACTATGGCTCGGCAATGCACGGCTTGGTGGTATTACACCACTTATCAATACAAATCAGCGAGGAAATGCTTTGATACACTCCATATCAATTGCTAAATGCAATGTTCTCATATTTTCTGATGAATATTTGTCAGGTTAATATTATTATTATATGACAATATTTTGTTACGTTTAAACTATTACGGTCAACAATTTACAAAATATATTTTTATGCAGCAATCCAGGATGTTTCAAGTCAGCTCGATCCTAAGTTGAAGTTACTTAAGTTTACGCATCGTCCTTTAAATAAAAATCCTGTTGAAGTAAATGCTAGTGGCGATGGTATTGAAGATTTGACGGATTTACTTGAAAGGACCCCTCCTGCACCATGGACGTTGGCTGATGCCAATGGATTTCAAGGAAAACTATTATACATTTACACATCGGGTACAACCGGTCTACCAAAAGCAGCTGTAATATCAAATTCAAGGTATCCAAAATAGTATGAAAAATTATATTAAATCTTTGATTAAAATGCTCAAAAATTATTATCAAACAAATCTATTGTGTTTTGGGAAGTAGACTTTTATTTGTGTTTACTTTCTGTAACTTAAGAATCAATTTAATATTGTTGATAACCACAATAGAAATGTTATATTATACTCTGTATATAGGCTGGTATAGTCATGGTTACTCTGTTACTTTCACTTTGCCGTTTTCACTTTCTCTTAGAAGGTTCAATTTGTATTGTAATTTTACTACATTTGCTTTATGCATTTTAAGTTTAATTTTTTTTATATAATTATTTTACATATTTAACAGATATGTATTCATGGCGTGTGGTCTTCACAACTTCAGATTGAATTCTTCAGATGTTGTGTACTGTCCTCTGCCTTTATATCACACAGCGGGCGGAGTAGTTAGTGTGGGCCAAGCCTTAATATTTGGCTGTACAGTTATATTGAAAACCAAATTCTCTGCTTCCCAATATTTCCCCGATTGCGTCAAATATAAGGCTACGGTAAGATGAATTTAATTTCACGCATGTCAAAATCCTAGCATATCTCATTAAAAGAATATTAATGACGTTCACTCTTAATGATCTATAATAAACCATTAGAAACGAAAGGAGTTTAGACAGATACTTCTAGAACTATAACTTTCCATAGTTTTAGTTTTTTATTTAAAGTAAAGCCAGTGAACTTAATTGATGTCGCAATATCGAACTTACAATTTTTAATATACTAATGTAACTCCTATTTAATTTTTGTGACTTAGTCGGGATATATTATGAATGTAACCCATTTTTTAAGGCTATAAACCAAATTACTGAATTATAATTATATTAATAATTAATATAATAATGAACACGATGTAGGCAGCTCATTACATAGGAGAGATGTGTCGCTACGTGCTCGCGACCCCACCTTCCCCGGCGGACAGGAGTCACAGAGTACGGCTCATATACGGCAACGGTTTGAGGCCACAGGTAAAACCAGAGGAAATATGTATATCACATGTTTTGTTAAGACATCTATAAATAATTCATCTATTACAAAATATTACCTAAATTTATACTTTAATCGACCTGACCCAAATCAATCAATTGAATAAGAAATCAATTTAGATTTCTGACCATTTCCTATTAAATATAATTGTTGCCATTAACAGGAAAAAATTGTTGAATAGATTATCTATATCACTATTGAATATAGTGCAGTAAATAAACTTGTAAATCGTAATTACATGTATGACAAGACAAATTAATTATGCAAGTATATATTTGTTCGTTTAGCTTATCCAAACTTTACTTCACAATATTCTCTACTTATAAAGGATACTTCTAAATGGGTAATTAATTAAATCAGGAAAAAGATTTAAATAATTTTAAAGTTCTTTTTTACATATGTACATAACTTCAATAAAAGCAGCCAACCTTGAACAACAATTTATGAGAAAAACCGGTAATATTTTTTATTAATGTTTCAGATCTGGACGGAGTTTGTGAATCGTTTCAATATCAAGTACGTCACTGAGTTCTACGGAGCGACGGAAGGGAATGCTAATATCGGTGAGAATATTTATTCATTACTCTGCTATACGATTTTAGACTTTAAATATTTAGTTCAGAAGGAGCTAAATAGAAATTGTTAATAGATGTACATTTAAAAAAATATAAGGGTGACACTCATAGTAAAAACATCGTGACTAAAAAATAATTATTATATGTCTTTTATTTTTTTGCATTTGAATATAATTAACATATTAATTTATCGTAATTTATACAGCAAAATGTTTGTAGTACGATCTGTAGTAGAGACGAAACAAGTTAATCAATGCTGTCAACGAATTGTCAGTTGAATGCAATCGCGAAATGTCATTGGCATGTCGAGTTAACCTTGACCGAAATAGTTCACACAAACTAATTGTTATTTTGACGACGTCTGTGTACTTCTTTAAACTAACTAATACAGTTGGGAATAATTTGTATTCCTTATATGTTGTGATAGAAATTAAATTAAAGATCGCTCTGTATACCTATGCCTTGTTATTACACAATTTATTATTATAATTCATACACGTCAATTCGTTGTCATAATGTAATGGAATCGTAAACTATGCTTAGATGCAATTATGAATAACTAGGTAATTACATAATCCTGATGTAACGATGTTACTTACTCTACCTTGAATTGTTTAAGTGTAGATGTTTTGTTTTAGTTTTAGACATATTATTATGCAGTCTAGTTATTTTAAACATGTCTTAATTATTGTAAGATTTTCAAAAAAAAAATGTGAATTCTCATACGTTTTTTTTATATTATTATCCATGAAGCCATTGTCTTCATACATTATAATGTAATAGAAACAGCGTATATAAGTTAAATACCCTCATTGTATTTCGCGACCCTGCGATTGTCAATATACATATTAAATTATGAACATTCTCTATCGAATTGTATGCTAACGGTATAAAACTGTACATTCTAAATTCAAATTATAAATTTTAAACTCCAACCGTTTAAATTTATTTCTTATTGACGTTTCAACTTGACGTAATTAATGTCGAGTATATGCTAATGTTACCGTAACTATAATTGCGTCATTGTTTTATTAAATTATTAAAAGAGCGGAATACGATTTTAGAATAAACACTACAGATATAGCGTGTAAAGTTAGTTTAAATTATATTATATTTTCTGTATTCATCTGATAATACGAGAAATAATAATGGTTTTCATTCTATTTATGTTCGTTGTGTTTGTAGCTAACTCTGACGGCACTCCTGGCGCAATTGGCTTCATTTCCCGCATCTTTCCGGCCGTGTATCCCATCGCTATAATCAAGGTTGATCAGGAAACTGGGGAACCCATTAGAGACTCCAGAGGACTCTGTCAGGTCAGCCATTAATATATTCAACTTGTAATGTATGGAGAAAATAATAGCTACCTAGAAATTATAATGCCAAATTTTAATGATTATTTAAATTATTTAAAGTGATTCTTATAATTTTATATGTGGAATTAGAATCAAGCTATATGTGTAATTATAAAAGTGTACAAAAATATATAAATATTTAAAATTTGTTATAAAAAATGACTCAATTTTTGACTGGCACAAAGGTTTAAATAATTTGGCAATTAAAAAATAATACTCAAATATCATTTTTGGTCAAATGTGAAACGAAAATAAATATTAACTCTGCTTATTACAATGAGAGTTATTAATTATTATTAATAGAATGAAGTAAGCAGTCCGAGGTATAAGTTCATAAAGAGATCAAGTAGAGCATCATGCCCTTGTGCCCATTATAAAATACATTTTTAGAATCCCATTTTTCTTTTACATTGTTTTAAAATGCACAATGTTGTATATACCTACTTGATACTAAGTCATAGTGTTACTTTATGTCTTCTCATTAATAACATAACAAAATTTATGTTGTTTTACTGTGTTGATATGTAGTTTAATTACTTATATATATATTAATAAATATTTATAATCTATATTAATCTTATAGTCATAAATCTTCGTCTTCCTTAAAAGTCGAAAAAAAACATTGAAAGTTTCGTTACGTAATACTTGAATGTTCCCTTTCTTAATTACTTTTTTTTTGTTATAAAACTATAATTTAAATATAATACTGGTACATATGTAATTATTATAACTAATATTTACAAACTCTAATTTAACTTATACTATATTTAAAACTATCTGTCCCAATAATTTTGACCTACATAAAAGCAACCAAAGTAACTTGAACCTACACGTTCTCATTTTAGAGTTCAGATCTCCTTTATACAATGAAAGTTATTGTTATGATTATTAATTTCAGATTGCTCAACCGAATGAGCCTGGTGTATTCATAGGGAAGATATCACCAAACAATCCTACAAGAGAGTTCCTCGGGTACGTGGACCGCAGCGCCTCGGATAAGAAGGTGGTCAGGGATGTGTTCACTCATGGAGACTCAGCATTCATATCTGGTTAGTTCACTGATTCAACATCATAATACTATCTTCATCAAAATGCCATCTTTGTTACGATAGTCAGGTTAGTTCATTGATTCGACAAGTATCATAATGCTCTTATCTTCATCAAAATGCCATCTTTGTGACGAGTATTTATACCAGATAAAAATAGAAATGTGATATAGTATAAATTCTAATTAGTTTTGGCACCCAACTTTGTCTGCGTTAGTTTCAGAATTAAAAATGTATATGTAGTTGACCGGGCGAACTCTATTTATTCTTAAAGACAGAAGATAAGAAAATTTCGGATATCAAATCAACAAATTTCTTTCTTTTTCAATCGGATGAAAAGTATTCTATGTTCATTCCCATGTTCTAAGCTATCTCTCTACCAATTTTCAGCCAAACCCGTACAGCAGTTCTTGAGTTATAAATAGTGTAACTAACACGACTTTTTTATATTTAAAAGATTAATATGGTAACGTATTTGTCTTTATGACGAAAAATTCTCTGTCTCAGACATTAATTAATATACACGCCAATTATTAATTAAGTAATTGAAATTTTATAATCGAATATGTGCACTTATTTTAAGTATTATCTGTTTCTCAACTGGCCACTTGCTTATTTAAATTTAAATTTTATGTCTTATAGTTGTTAATTTTATATATAATTGTAGGTTAATAGTAAAGTAGTTTTTGTGTAATGAAAGACTACATCTACCCACATAAGCTTTCTCATATATCGTATGGTTTTGAGTGAAGCGAGCGAAGTGTGTAAAGCTATACCGTTGACTCATGTCATCTCGGCACCCAAATGCCTAATTTAATCGAGTTTTTTTTGTTCGATAGACCAGTTATCTGGTTTATACAGGTTTTTATGAAAATTAACTTAGATTTCACCAAAAAAATTCAATTTTTAAGCCAAAAAACGTTACCCATATCCAAAAAAAAACGGTTCGTTATCAAAACGCTGAGGCGCCAAAAAAATTTGAAGGTGCATCTCCTATTTATATTTGAAGTCGTATTAACGGTTTTAATTTCTTTGCCAGGTGACATCTTAGTGGCTGATGAGTTCGGCTACTTATATTTCCGTGACCGTACCGGAGACACGTTCAGGTGGCGCGGAGAGAACGTCAGTACTAGTGAGGTGGAGGCTGCCATCTCTAACGTGGCCAACCATAGAGACGCTGTTGTCTATGGTGTTATGGTTAGTATACAGGGTGGTTGTCTATATGTTATAGTTATAATAAATGGAATACTTTTTATATTTATAGTTAGGTTAGTTTAGGCATTTGTTTTTATTCCGTTTTCTTTATAGCAGATTAATTTTAAGAGTAGCTGTTAGGACTAGCTCAGCTGATATAAGGTTGTAATTGTCACATTTCTATATATAACTACTTTTTGCCGTCAACTCCACCCTCCTTAACATCAGTTTCACTCAGAGTGAAATGTATAATCGTACTAAAACAATTATTACGTTACAGAATTTTTCATTTTAAATAACCTAGATACCGATTTCAGCTCTATCTGACGAACTATTTTGTGAATCTAAACCATCCTGGGTGCCACTCGAATGCATATAAACCCAAAAAATATTTATTCAAAAATTTTCCAGCCGTTTATAAATAATTCAATGACATACACACGTGTTTTAGAATTATGTATACAGGGTGACTGGTGAATTACTATCAATATTTGAGGACGTGATATTTGACGATCATATATGACGAAATAAAAATTAATATAACATAAATATTAATAAACTTCTAAGTAAAGTTAACCAAAAGTTATGTAATTAATTACGCATCGTGTGAACACCCTACAGATTAGGTATACACTGACACTCACACATACGCGTGTCGTGACGTAGTGTTGTATCAGCACGCCGCCGCACGCGTCCACACTTGAACACTTGGAACGTGTCAACACTTTACTTATTTATACGGAAATTTTGTCAAAAATTAAGTGCCTATTTTTTTTACATAATTCGAATGAGAATCATGTACCGAGTATTCTCCTTAAATATTGATAGTAATTCACCAGTCACCCTGTATAAAGATGAAAACTAAAATGATCATTTGCTAATAATTAGTTTTATATGGAAAATCACGTATAAATTAGTATGAGAATCAATGATAAAATATTTGTAAGAAAACCAAGTTAATTTTTTTAGGTTTAACTTATGTTTAGGAGATTTCTACCTTTCTACGCCAATTTAATAAGTTGTAAGCTTATTGTTTTTCCCTACTTTTTTGAGTACAGGAGACCCCATAGATTTAAAAAACGTTTCTGGTTATGTTTCAAAGACGTTGGTTATTAGGTTTTTATTATATATATTGAAAGTTAATTGCCAAATATGTATTTGTAGTAACTGTTTGATAAATAGAAATTGTTATTAATGTTTTTTTACTGAAATTGCAGACAAGTGTTTAAAATGTGTACTGGTAGTATATTTTATTGCGCGTAAAAATATTTAAGACGGTCATAAAAGAAAAAAAAACTTAAATATTTTAACGTGTATAGAACTTTTTTTCCACGAATTACCTTTGTGAAAGAATATTATATCGATATTATTATGTAAAGGCATATATTAATTTAGAATTTATTTATATCATAGTGCCTTTAGGATTTTGATAAAAAATGATACCACACTCCTTTTTCTATACCAATGTATCCCCATTTGTCTATACATGATAAAATAATATTCTATTCCAAAACCAAGTGATAAGATAAAAAGCATATTAAAAAATAGCAATAAAAATATTGTGGTATAATATTAAATAAGTATGAATATTTTTAAATTCTACCTTTAATTTAACAAATTAATATCCATTAATTGCTAGCAACACTTCACTTTTATAACAGTATGGTGGATTCGTTTTGTGTCACAAACAAATTGTATTCACGATCGTAGTTGTGAAATTGAATAATAAAATATTCACTTTATTGAGAAACGTTTGGTTGATACATTACATTTAAAGCGTAATTCTGATTACTCTTACGTGTTATTTATATGACAGATAAGGAAATATATCTATATATAATTATCCTAATGAGATGTAGTATAGTACGTATATAGTATAGTACCTATGTATGTAGTTTATAATCAAAAATAAATATCTCGTAGTAAATCCGAAAATATAATTTTCATTAAGCTTATCGTAAATTAGCATCGTAACGCCACATTCATAAATCTTCATACTTGATAATATGAAGGCAGATTATTATTTAAGTAGATACGGTAAACTCCATGTTTAATGTGACGACGCAGACTAAGGATACAGAAGATACTAGTTGCAGTATAATACTTGAATAACATACGCTACTCATTTTAGTGCCCTTAGTTTATAAAGTGACCTTTGAACTCATTTTCCTATATTTTATAGCTGAATAACACGTAAGATAAATACGAAATATTGTTATATTTAAAACATTTTTACAATATGGACTAAATTGTCGTGTAATAATAATGAATAAAATTTAAATATTAGTCAAAACATTGTATCTAGATACATATTAGAGAAGTAGCTATAAACAACAAATAAGGTTTTAAATGACTGAAGGCTAGCTGAAGTATTTTTAATATTTCATTTTATAGTGAAAAAAATTAGGTGAACAAAAAATAAAAAATGTGAATTTCGTAAAACGAATCGTAACCTTAACTTAAGAATGTTAACCTTTGAGACTAATTGTGAATAATAGGAACAGACTTATGAATATGCGATGTAACTATTGTCTATGAGGAGTTTAATACTATCTGAAGCAACAGCAGCATAAAATAAAGACCTCATTTTACTAAATGGATTATCTCTATTATTTAAACTTATTTTTTTCTTCATGGCTTTGATATATGTTATACGGGAATTTAACGATTTGAAACTTCTGTAAAAAAGGTTTATCTAATCTATGATTATATTAATACTGTGTTGTATTATAATAATTCGTTTATAATTCGATTACTACCGAAACTCATTGCGATCTCATTTAATATATTGACGATCTTTTTTTTAACGTTTGTCCCTTACCATTGTCACCAGGTTCCAAACACCGAAGGTCGTGCTGGTATGTGTGGCATCGTTGATACTGATGGTACCTTGGACCTAGATAAACTGGCCAAGGACCTATCAAATGACCTGCCTCCATACGCCCGACCCGTCTTCCTCAGAGTTATGACCAGTCTAGATATGACCGGTAAATATACACACACACACACGCACACACACACACACACACGAACACACACACATGAACATATGTATCTATATTATACTTGTAATGTAAACAGAGTAACGAAATGACAAACATGATTACATAGTTTATTTAGTGTAAGGTCCAATGTTCTATTTTCGCCTTTAATGTATACACTGATGTAATCTTTTGTCCCATATTTTTTTACTACTTATAATTCTTTTGTTTCATATAAAAGAAACAAGGACGACAAATGTTCTTTTCTATTCGGTAACACGGTCGTTAGAAACGAATTTTTTAATGGGTCGATATAAATATTGTAATAAAGTTAAAATATTTAATTTTTTACAAATTAGTTTAGTGAATTTTCTATTACATGGTTTTCCTATATAATTAAAACTTGTATGTATGTTGTTGTAAAATCGATTTGTTACGAATAATTAGTTCCGGACTTAAAGAAAAAATTTATTTATTTTATTTTATGTAACAACAGGTACGTTTAAAATGAAGAAGACAGATCTTCAGAAGGAAGGCTTCGACCCCAGCAAGGCTAAGGGCGACAAACTCTATTACCTGGATATGAAACAATGCAAGTACCTCCCGCTTAACGAAGACGAGTACAACAAAATTATAGAAGGACATATCAGAATATGATCCGAAAGAATAATTCCTCTAGAGATACTATTCATATAAATTATTCGAATATAAGATCTGATTTATTTACTCATTTTTTGTTATACACGAAATTTATATCGTTTGTTCCAAAAACATATTTCATAATCTTTAGAAGAATCTCGTCCAGATTATGTTTAAAAAAAAAATCTTTTTTATAAAAATAATGATAGTAATAATCGTTCTCGTATTTATGATGCATTTTTATCCTGTACCTTTACCACAAGTTTCGGAAATTTTTAAATGTTTACGAATTAAAAACTGAATAGTGAATACGTTCCTTATATTGTGTGACTATAAACTCGTGGTAGGGGTGCTGCAATTTTTATGAAAAATTATTTGTATTTTTTTTACATTTTAACTTAAAATTATATAAATATTAATTGTATTGAAGTTGTTAAATTGAATTCGTTGCTTGCCTCAATGTTTTATTTCTCATTACTGTTAAAATTCTCATCAATTAGGTTATAATAATGTTCTACATTAGATGTACAAGTGTCACTCGAATTGGATAATACTCTAAAATTTATATATTTTATCTGTATCTTATAATAATTGTAAAATATACCCATGTTATATGTTAGTATGTTTCCATATGTATAAATGAAAATTTTTAAATACTGCAATTAATTTCATGTAATTATTTTAAAGCTAAATATATTTTCGTTAATTCTAAATAAATGTACTTAAGGCGGAAACGGGTTTTAACGGGAATTGGCTATGTATGTATATAGATGTAATATATGTACTATTTGATTATTTCTTACTATTATTGAATGACTTGTACACTGAATTTCCCGGATATCCGGTAGTTTATCAGCAGTCACAAGCGTAAACTTGGCAGAATTTTAACACATTAGACTATGTATTCTGCTCCTTGCCTATATTTTTGTAATCAATAACTGCTTAGACGAAATCATTCCAGTCTCAAAAGTAAGACTGAGGATTTACAACATATTTTTATTAGCTTATAAACTTTTAAAGGGAATGGGTAATTATTGAAATACCTATCAAGTAAACTTGATTAAAAAGTTATTAAAAAAAAATGTTTTATTTATCCTTATTATGTTTTTATTGTAAATTAAAATAAATGAATCCTACCAATTTATATTAAGTTTATTTTATAATCAATTTTCGGTTTAATACTACGCGAGTTAAAAAGACTCATTTTTAAATCCACCATTGATTTTATATACGCAGCATATACGTACTCTTTGTACATCTTTTAAAAAGAATATGTTACAGAACAGACAATAAAAAAAGAAATAGGAATTTAAATTTCGAATTTAATGACAAAATGATCTGTCACTAACGTTAACGCAAAAAATTTACCTATCGCTTTTTGTATCAACCATTTACAATTTTATGAGTTAGCTGTTTTTTTTTTGGTGTCCCACGATCCCTCCCTTCGGGGATCAGCTGTTCGCGCATGTGCATCTGGCGCCGAGGGGAGCTCCGCCAGTGACGTGCGGGGTGACGCGGCGCCGCGCAAGTCCTTCGCGCATTTACGGAATAGTGTTCACTGCCGGTACACGTATCAAGCGTGCGGCGTTCGCTTATAGTGTATTGTTTGCTTCTCTGTGTAGACAGGCCGCGGTGCGTCCCACTGGGCCGTTCGCCAGCATGGACGCACTTTTGGCAGCGCTCGTTGCCCTCATGGCATTAGCCGCCGCGATGGCCGCCGTGCTAAGCACGCTCTCTAAAGCGGCGATTTTCGCGATCCTCGCGATCGCTCCCTGCGTATATCGATACAGAAAAAGGATTTATGTCATTGTGAAAACTTTGCCCCGGGATGCTAAGTGAGTACTACATTTATTATGACAGGCGTTTACCGTAGGTAATGTAATGAATTGCACAAACATAGCTCAGTCTAAAGGTGACGACTGTTTCGATATGAAAATTAAAACCAGTACGAGCCTTCGTGAGGATAACAGTGGCTAGTGTGCTATTTTTAAATAGGTAGATAAAACATTGTTTTGTATGTATTAACAATGTGCTGAATAAATAGCATTATATAATTAACATTACTAGTTAGTTATATAATTTTATAACTGAAAACTCATGTTCAACTCGCTCTCCGTGACAAATATTTAACACATAATTAGAACTTCCGTTCATATTTTATTCTGTACTTTTTGGAAGTGTGTTTCAACTTAGGTTGAAAGAATTTATAGAAATTCATTTTATTTTAATAAGATAGGGGAAGTATTCTGAATAATTCAATAGACGAAATCTGACTTCAAAAGTATTATTCTTTAGTCAAAAGCTATTGGATTCGATCGTGGTAAGTTTGTATGTATGTCTGTCCCTTCCGGTCGTTTTCTATAATATGACAACTTTTATTCAGTACGTTTACTCAAAGTTTGTGTCGTCACAGTATTATTGTACAGTCATAGATGCGTAAAAAACTAGCAACACACCGTTTGTAGTATGAAGATACCAACCTATATTAACAATGCAGGTCCATTCATACCTTTAGACCTTTACCCAGAATTTTAAAAAGTGGCGTTTTTAATAATAATTCTAAATCTTTATTTTTAAATGAATTCTCTTTGTTTAAATTCTAAGATTCGATTCTGTATACATTTATATATTATGAGTCAGCGAGATGAATGAAGAATAACAAAGACATGTGTGTTTTATAAACTTTCGTTGTTATTACATTACTTATATACATATTTTCTGTCCGGATATCTGTGGGATTTTTAATATAATAAATATAATTATTATTGTAACCGCGTCCGACATATAAAAACTTGTCCAATTTAGGCTGGAAGCTTTCGCGTGATGAATGAAATTTTTGCGTGAAACTGTAGGTTTTATACAACCAAAGTTATTTAATTGGGTAATTTTTTTTATGTCTTTGAAAACAAATATTATGTAAAAGAATTAGTTACATTGTAAGTAAATTTTATCCCTACAAAATAGTAAACAGGTGAATGAACCCTTCTCGTACAACTCGTGTTTTATGTAAAAGGGTTTTTAAAGTACTTATCGATCTAATGTTCTAATTTTAGAGCTGTAAACATTATTATACATGGGCTTATGAAGAAAGCTTTTTATTTTATATTCCGATACAGTGAACTGTGAAGTGAATTACCATAACTACTTTAGTGGGACTATTTAAAGGAATCCAACATAAACCTTTTTTTGGTTTTGTATTATATAAAGTAATTTTTAGAAAGTACTTTTATTATTCTTTTAGTTTTTATTCTATATTCACTGTTGTTATAATCCTATTATATTCATTACGTATTGGATTCTTCTATTTTTAGATTCGTTTACCGATAAGTATGAGTAACGAACTTTAACTTCTATCTCAACTTTTCCATTCTTTGAAAGTTTTTCGCTCAATTTATCAGCGGTTTTGCTGACGGTTTCGGACTTATAAATGCTTGACAAATGCCGGCTTGTGTTATACCAAATCTGTTTGGTATTTTTTGCGTGATCTACTAACATTAAAACATTGAAAGTTAAAGTATTAAAATGTTAGTCGCTTTAAGGATTATAATTAATGTGACACGTTTGTCATATAACAGAGGTTACTAGGCAACGCTTTGTTATTGAAGATTCTATACATTGAGTTTAAGTAGTAGTAAGTAGTAGTATTTGATTGAGAACATTTTGTTGATAGCTCCATTTTGCAGGAATATACAATCACAAGCAATGTAAATGTTGTAAATTAAACAATCAATCTATTTGTATCGTACTATTTCTGTACAGTACACGCGAGAATGATGAAAGTAATCATTTTTAGGACCTAGGAGATAAATATAATTAATATAAATCTAATTTTGGTTAGTGTGTATAAATATGCTTGCAATAAATGCATCGCATCGCAATTCGTTATGCAGAGCGCATCTAAATTGAAGTCTGTACCGTTGTGTTGCAATGCGCTATAACGTTTTGCATTCGCAGACACATGCTTTCCGAGTTATTATCGGTACGTTGGTTTTCTTGTAGGTTTTCGCTATTTTATCTGTTACAGCGCAAACAATATATATTTTTATAGTATCAAACAATTTGTTTAAAACAAAATCTATCTTGTCTCGAATAGGTGATAATTTTTGCGAAGCTTGCAAAGAATTCTTTGATGAATAGGGATTTAGAAGAAAAAAATTATATTAAAACATTTTTTTATTATTACATATATTGTTATTGGCGACATACCTATCTAATTATGTATAATTTCGTCAACGATTTATTTTTTCTTTTAATATTACAATTATCAGTTTCTGCTTAGTATCGCGTAGGAAAAATAGATAAAAAGTTGTATATTTATTCAAATTTGCTTACACGTATTTCCCAACTTTTGTAGGGCATCGGCGATAGATATGCGACTGAAAAGATCGCGTGGCACGATAAAGGTATATGACGCAAATACGTACCTGTGTTTACTATGAGTACTAGTTGGTTTTGATTTCTGTTTTAGTTTTAATTAAACGACAGTAACATTAAAACTTTAATACAGTTTATAACTTTTCATTAATATAAAATGTAAGGAGAATATCGCGTGTTCAGTCCGTTATGTGCCCCCAGAGACCGGCATTAATCGATATCACTGTGAATAATCGATTGGCCGACGGCGATTAAGTCATTTTAATTTCTTGCCTTATATAATAACTACACCATAAAATAATTACACTTACTGCATTTGCTACTGTTACTGGCTGTTATATAAATTGCATTGTCCTTCTATACTATTTATGAAGACATTCATACTTGAATGGTCCCTCGTAACTATTGTTTTTAAACTTCATTATACAGCCATTGAATTCGGTCGCTAGTACGAGTATGTCTAAACTATTTTTGTGTCGAAGGTTAGTTAAATGTATCTGTAGTATGGGCCAATGGTTTGAATCTTTTTAATAGTTTAAACAGAGCATACAAGTACACTGTTATATATAATTTAAACACTTTTTAATTATTAGAAATTATATGAAGGCTATGACGCGTCGGAAGTTTTCGAGTTTTGGTTTGACGTGAGCAAGTTGGGTTTGATGTTCGTGATTTAAATATAAATGATGGATCGTAAAGTTGAAACACTCGTACCATTTATACATACTGTATCAGTAAAAGCCGTACAACACGACTCACTTTTTAAAATAATTTGGTATAATAAAAGTATCTACGATATGATTTAACTTCGAAAAAATTGTATCGCGTCAGATTTCCATAAATATATTGGGTTAACGCAAAACACTTCGTTCTATACATTATTCTAATTGTAGATTTGGATTCTTACCGTTATAGTTATATCATTATTCTAATCAGCGTACCAAAACAGGAACACATGCACTGCTGCCTACGATTTTTAGTTCACTTAGTCATTATTTTTCTTATTATCATAACTTTAAATAAAAAATTTATTTAAGTTGCACTGTTACAAATTTAATATATATTAATATAAATCAAACTTGTTATTTGGGCAACGACGCAAATAAAAGGTTCAGACTTTAGGTTAAACTTTGATGATTAGTGATTACACTATTAAAGAGGGTAATTAGTTTATTCCCTATTTTCTAGATTAGCTTTAAAAATATAATATTGCATTTTGTTTTAAAACCAAATAGGTTTATTATAAATTTAGAAAAGACTTGGTAAAATCTCTTTTATGATTGACTTTTCTTATAATAAATGTTTTACCAAGCAATTATTTTCCATACCCTAGGACACGGTGGATTTAGTAAAATCATATTGTAAATCTATCTGTCCTAACTATTGGTGTTCAGGTACAAGTTGTATTTAGAACATGACAGAAAAAATTAAATGTTATACGCATTTAAATATGTTTCATTGGTATTTTATTATGAGCACTTATTGAATATAGTTTGTCTTTGTATATGTAATTAGCTATTATGATCAAAGTCTACATGGAAACGTTGAAACTTACTTCCGTGATTTCCTTTATACTAGTGTCTCCATAAGACCTATTACCATAAAGGTTGCTAATCATTTAAAACTAGTTTATGCTTTACAGCGCTGTGACTTAGTTGAAAATGGCATTCTTATGTAAATATAACTTTTCTATTCCGTTAACAAAGGTATTTAAATGAAACAAAGGGTGTGAAAAATAGTAAAACCTTAATAAGAGTCACTAAGAGATAGCTAGCTATAAATTAAAAATATGTACATAGAATTCAATGTTCAACCGAAACACTCGATTTAAAAGTTGATACTTCTATGAACTAGCAATACTTCCCTCGTTTGACACTTTTATAAATTAATCACGTTATTGGAAATAAAATCTGTTTCCTTCTACCTTTGATTTTTTTAATTATTTCTATTTAAAATAAATTATTTGCCATAACTCGTCTCTTACAATATTCAGTTAATTCTGTGTTTAAGTTTGGTATTTAGGATTTTCTACTAATATTGTTAGCAGTGTGAAGTCATGGCGTGACTTGTTACAGTTTTATTCAATAAAATGTTTAATGTACGCATAGCTTTTTATTACATTTAAATCATTATAATAATATGGACGGTTAGTAAATATATTTAGAAATTGTCACACTAGCTTATAGACTAAGCAAATATTATTCTAAGTAAATAATTTTATGTAGACTTCCAGAAGCTTTGTCTCAAATTAACAATAGGTTTCATAATATATGTACGTCTAAAAAAAGATGAATTTTACGGTTTCATTTATACAATATTTCCCTAGAACCGTTCCGTCCAAGGCTAAATACGTAGTCTTCATTTAATTATAGGATTACGATACCGTTTAGCTCAGCTTGGACTCACCGATTCGCCGGCTCCAGCAAATTGGTTCACTGCAATGCCGGTTTTACTATACTGAATTTTATTTGAAGAGTTTTTGTCTGTTAACAAAATATACCTACTCCGTTATGATGCCTTTCATTTGAACTCTAGTTTTTTTCTGAAAAAATCGTATTAGATACATAATAAAATTAAATTTCTATAGCGCTCTACAATGAATCGGAGAACTATTTATTTATACTAAATAATTAATTGGCTGTTACCCTTACCTGTCTCTGTTTGCTTTAAGTTTATAAACATTATTCAACCTTTAAGTCCCGTCTTACACAATAGTACCTACTACCTAGTATTAAGACGTTTTTAAATAGAATACAACATTGATACTTTATCCAATTAGTTAATAAGTACTTAATGTTAGATATTATACGGAACCTTAAAACTGTCTTATTTGTCATTTTACTATAATAATTGTTTATATACTTTTATGCATTAGAAGGCATTTGATGACGAGAGACGAAATTTTTATAAAATTATATAATCTCCGGGAAAATCCAATGAACATGAACTCAAATTGATTTCCAATATTTCCAAGACAAACGATATATTTACGATTTCAATTGTCCATGTGTCATTTTTTCACCTATGAATATTTTATCAGATAACTTATATTTGTAGAGCGTGGGAAAATTTATTCAACAGTCATTTCATTTTCTATGTTACATACGTCAGTATAAATTAGATCAATACTTTATTCCAAGAAAATTGTTTGCTTGCTTTCCTTAAATTGAAAATATATTATCAAGTAAAATTCCGATTTCCGAGCTATAACACAGAAACTGACTTTGTAATCGTTGCCTTATTAAGTAACTATTCTAGTCCTTACATGGTATATTTTGTCTTTGAATAAGTTTTGTTAATTAATTATAGATTCTTGTGGCGCTATGCAAACGCTATGTTGCGCTCGAAGCGCTGGGGTCGTAACAACAGCACGGTGGCGGAATTGTTTACCAAAAGGGCCCTGAAGACGCCGGACGCTCCGTGTTTCATCATGGTTGAAGGACGGACTTGGACTTTTCGAGAGGTAATTGTTTATTATATCTGAAATGTCTAGATTTAGACCATATAGTTTATCATGATTTTTGTTGCAGATAGCAGAAAATTCAAACCAAGTGTCTCGAGTGATGCAGGAACACCTCGGTTTAAAACGAGGTGATGTCGTGTGTGTGTTTATGCCCAATTGCGTGGAGTATGTTTATACGTGGCTGGGTATGGCCAAACTCGGTGCTGTCTCCGCGCTCATTAACAGCAACCTGCGCCATCGTCCGCTGCTGCATTGTATCCAAGTAGCTAAAGCCAAGGCGATAGTGTTCTCTGATTCACTGGCTGGAGGTAAGTTTGAAATCAGCTTATTTAAAAAAAATACCGTAGCAAATGTATGCATAGACTGTGAGAAATTGTATTTAAATTTCGATTGTTTTATAGAATAGAAATTTTTATAGCTATATCCGAGTTGGGTGATCAGCTGCCACCAGAGCTGAAGCTGTTTCAACTGTACGGCAAGTGCTCCCCCGGGGTTATTGACCTCCGGGCTGAGATGGATAAACAGGTTCCAGAATATCCTATAGTGACAGACAAGCCTCGGTACAGAGACACGCTGCTGTATATTTACACATCAGGCACTACTGGTATGCCGAAGGCGGCGGTGTTGCCCAACTCTAAGTAAGCTATAACTATGTCCAGTTTATAATGAAACATGGTGTATAATTTGTTTCTTGTGTAATGTATGTATTATATCTGTTTCCAGGTATCTTCTAATAGTGGTGGCGACGGTCCATATGTTAGGTCTCCGTTCGTCCGACCGCCTGTACAACCCTCTGCCGCTGTACCACTTGGCGGGCGGGCTGGTGGGGACGTGCGCCGCGCTTGTAGACGGCATCCCCACCGTACTGAGGTCAAAATTCTCTGCCACCCACTACTGGACGGACTGCATCAAGTATGATTGTACGGTAAGTTATAATCCCTACTAAAATTATAAATGCGAAAGTAACTCTGTCTGTCTGTTTGTCACGCTTTCACGCCTAAACCATGACGTATGAACAGATTTTAATGATATTTGGTACAGACATAGAGTTGACCTTGAGAAAGAACAAAGGATAGTTTTTCTCCCAACATTTTGAAAGATTCTCTTGTAAACGCGATATGACCGAACTCCACGCGGGCGGAAAGCCAGTATAGAATAAGTGTATCTATTTATTGCAACGGTATTAATAATATCATTCTTCAATCATTCTAGCTTGTTGTGTCGTGATTTTTAAGGACTCGCAGCAAAATCATATCTTCAATGAATACTTGGTCATAACTTAATGGTGCCATAGCTTGATTTTTCTAACATATTAGACATCAAAGAAAAAAAATCTCAAAATTTTCATACAGTTTCTTGTAACTGATTATAATAAATAAATCACATCAGAGTTTCAGATGATTCGTTATATATTGTGTATATGTATATCAGGTGTCTCAGTACATAGGCGAGATGTGTCGTTATCTGCTGTGTGCTCCGCCCAGACCCACGGACACTCAGCACCGCGTGCGCATCATGGTGGGGAACGGAATGAGGCCGGCCATCTGGCAGCAGATCGTTGACAGGTGACTTACACACACACACACACACACACACACACATTACATGTAGCAACTACCCTCACCACGACTTTACTAAACCAGTTTCCTGTTTTTCATTGTTATATGTACGTTGATAATTGTTTATAAATCTATTCGATTGATTAATTATTTAATATTTTATGCAATATATTAAGGAAATATTATTTCTGTTTCTCTCAGTTGTTGTAATTAGAATTCTAGAAGAAGTTGTACCAAAACAATATTTTCAATTTTGTTCCACTTGATCCTTTGTTACAATCACACATAACTAATTATATGTCTCTATCTAGGTTCAAAGTACCTCAGATAAATGAAATATACGGCGCGACGGAGGGAAATGCAAACATAAGTAAGTGGAGCTTATCATACGACTAGTACTTAGTGATTGTTGTGTTGTCACAACAAATAAAGATGTGTATAGTGTTTAAACACAAGATATATCGTTGTACTCAATGACAAAGAAAAACTTGTATTCCATATATAACTGATACCATTAAAGTAACTCGTTAAATACATTACATATAAAGATGATGAATATAAATTATTTGACGTAAAAATATCTTAATAATGATTTAATTATACATTTTTTATAGAACATATCACAAGAACAGATAGATGTCTTTAAATTGAATTAATTACAACGTCATAAAGTAAAACTCAGTGTTTTTCCTCTATATTAATTCAAACGGTATTACTATTATTCTATCTGTAAAAAGTACCTCATACTGAGTGGTATAAAACTCGGTTGTGTTATGTCCTAGTTAACGTGGACAATACCGTGGGCGCTGTGGGCTTCCTGCCCAAGTTGGTGCCCACGTGGTTACATCCCATAGCCCTGGTTAAGGCTGATGATGACGGGGACCTCATACGCGGCCCGGACGGACTGTGTATACGATGCCAACCTAGTATGTACACGCACACACGCACACTCACACAGACACACACGCACATATGTCATTAATATATAAATGTTTGAGAAATTTATTTCTTCTGTTGGTGATGCTATTCTTTGATAAACTAATCTTCGTCAGAATATTCCGAAGAATTTGTTGTTCATTGATGTCCATTTCCTTTACAATAAGCCTGTTATTATTATAATTATATTCATATTTATAATAACAGATGCATTAAAACAAAAGTTTATTATGAGAAGCGAATATTTATATATTTCAATATAAATAACATCAACTCTTACTTTGCACCAATCATGGTTTAAATATAACAAGGAATATTTAAACAGACGATTACAACTCGATCTAGTTGAATGATATTAAAATCTGTTGTTAAAAATATAGTGATATACAATTAATAAGTATTTCAATCTTTGTCCCCCCACATATAATGTTAATTATATAACAGTATGTAACACACATATAATTGAATGCTTCTCCGTATATGTATAATGTATGATTGTAACGCGTCATTTGTATTCAAGACGAGCCCGGCATGTTCATCGGTCTCATCGCTCAGGGCAACGCGTCCAGAGAATACTACGGATATGTTGAAAAGGTGAATTGTACATTACATTTATATATGAATATATGTTTATTAAATTAGGTCGGGTTACAAGTGTGACGTAGCTTTTGGGTTTATTTCCATTAGGTTTAAAATGTATGGGTTCCTTATCATACGAGTTGTACAAAGATTAGAATGTTTATTGTGATCCTTTATAATAAAGTATGGGAAGTGACGACGGTCGTAACGGAAATAAATGGATTAATAACATTGAATTTTCCTTCTTTAATCACAATCTAAATTCTAAATGATTTTACAACGACCTGGGACAAGTGTTATAAAAACGAAACCGAGTTTTCAAATAGTATTTAATTGTTTCAAAAGCTGTTTGTAAATTAATAGAAGGTAGTTCTCGGTCTTCTTTTTTTAACTTCGCAAATTCTAATGATAATAACTTTTCTTTTCTTGAAACACTTTAAGACGGTTTCTATGTTGATTGTCTAAAATAACTGCATATAGGTGAAGGCGTAGTTAGACGCAAATTTTATGTCTACCTACAAATCTCTTTTTTGCATAATATATAACAAAAACATACATAATTTATATAAAACACAATGAAAGCTTCACCAAAATCCTCAACACGTGAAACTAATATATTATATCGTTTTATTTGTTCAGAGCGACAGTAACAAGAAGTTGGTCCGCGACGTGTTCTGTAAGGGGGACGCGGCCTTTGTGAGTGGAGACATCTTAGTGGCGGACGAACTTGGGTACTTGTACTTCAGAGACAGGACCGGAGACACTTACAAGTGGAAGGGAGAGAATGTAGCGACCGCTGAGGTGGAGGACGCGATCAGGGCCGCGCTAGGACAGAGGGACGTCGTCGTTTATGGAGTCTCGGTATGAATTGAGACGAGAATTTATTGGAATTTAGAAGAGTCAAAGAATCTTCATAATTGTTATACTAGCTGATCCCCGCGGTGTTACGGATTTCCGGGATGTAAAGCAGCCTATGTGTTATTCCTTCACGTCAGCTTTCTGTATACAAAATGTTATCAAAATCGGTTCAGACGTTTGAGCGTGAAGAAGTAACAAACATACAATCACAAACTTTGGCAATTATATTAATAGTAGGATTCTTGGTTGCAGATTCCTCAGACGGAAGGACGTGCGGGTATGGCGGCTGTGAGTGCGGCTAGTGTGGACGGACGGTCGCTGGCGGCGGCGCTCGACCACGCGCTACCATCATACGCGAGGCCGCTGTTCCTTAGGCTCATGAAGGACATAGAGATCACCAGTGAGTTGGTGCTTGTATAGTAATAATAATGTGTAAAGAGGCTCTGGCAGTGTTGATATGCTTGTACGGTAACATTAATGACAGAATAGTCTCTGATAGGGCTGGTCTGTTAGCAGATTTTTTTAATATTTAGTGACACTTACGAAAGCGCTTTATTGTCCCTAAAAACAGTTAAAGAAGATATAATAACGAGGAATTGCCTGAACTAAATTTTTGTTCTCAATGATGGTCCTATTAACTGTAGCTATGTTTTATTTCCACAGGTACGTTCAAGTTAAAGAAGCGTCAGTACCAGAAGGAAGGGTTCGACCCGGACGTGATCAACGACCCGTTGTTCTTCCGCTCCGGGGAAGACTTTGTACCTCTGACGTCACAATTATTTGAAGACATCTGCAACGGACGGGTCAAACTATAAGTGTAATGGCTGTCCAAATAAAGATGAAAAAAAAGTCACTCGACCCAAAGGGAATATTATTAGTGTTTAATTAGCCTCATTTAGATAGAACACGTTTATATTCATTAGCACTCTGGCATGAGGATGGAGGTATGGGTACTGGCGCGAGTACAGACCCAACGAGGGGGTAGCAACCGAGGCCAAAGAAATGGGTACAAAACATTTACATATGTGTTTCGATAATTTGATTGATAAATTATTCCGTAGAATATTTGGTCGTAGTGCTGTGCTAAGACATTTTGTATACATTCTGAAGTTACCTTGTTGTACTTATTTATTGTAAAAAAATGTTTGACATCACGGTCAAGGTCAATTTACTGTCATATCGCATTTTTAAAAATCGTTTGAATATATGTATGTACATTTGTTAGCTTTGAGCTTTGACAGAAACAATAAGGTGTTATCTGGAAACTGATTGAGTTGATAGAAACCGTATGACTAATAACAATAAGATCTCATTTTGTCTATCGCTGCATTTATGCTTGCAGCCCAAATTAATGGAATATTTGCTTAATATTTATATATATATATAATGGCATTCGCTGTTAGCGTAATTTATAAAGTAGCGGAATACAATAGAAGACAATATGGTAATTTGAGTGTTAATGCCCTTGTAATACTTGTTAGATGACATTCCGCACTCTAGTCCTTAGAGTTAAATTTATTATTCCTATGCTAATTGCTACGAATTGTTATTTTAAGTTCTGGTTTCATATATTTCATTAATATATTGTGCCTTGTCACAAGAACAGCGTAATGGGACTAAATCAGTTGCTCCAAAAAATTACCGTAAGTTGTAAATAAATATATGTAAAATGTAACCAAGCGTTTTTATTTGTATTCTTTTGGTAAAGTATATATAGATTTTTAAGTTATGTGGGCGTAGCTATATTAATTATATAGCTACTCACACAATTCTGCTCTGCTCTGCTCAGCGACATATTGTCTCGAAATGTCTCGGTATCAGTGAAATCTAGTCTTAGAAAATCCTTCCATAAGGCGGAGTCCTCTGTTTTGTAACAGACCCAAGCTTATCCTAAACAGACATTCAAAAAACAACAAATTCCATCCTTTGAAAAATAGACACGAATATTTAGGAATATTCTTTCACCTTTCATCCGCTTATGGATAACAGAAGGCAGTTTTCAATTAAAAACACAGCCACCGACATGTTTGGCCATCCATACTTCATTTGCACTTAAAGCAAAATATCCCCCTAGAAATAAGGTGACATTATTACAAGGCCTGGATATCCAGTTACGCCGTAATCAAACTTGTGTTACCTTCATACTTCAACTTTTAACCAATTGCAAGTCTCTCTAAACAAATACATTGGCATTACATAAACATCCTGGTCCATAAGTAAAAACGATCACCACACGCTTGTGAGATTAACTCATTGAGACTTATATTGTCGTTTTGATCTGCTCTATTGCCACACTCCAGCGACCAGCATGCACAAAGATTTGGCCTAAGGTAGGTATGCCAAATCTTTGTGCATTCTGTAATGTATTTAATTTATTTAAACACAGATCTCAGTGCTTAGTTATAATTTATCCATAATTCGTTACATAATTAAAAAATGAATCAATTTGTTAAATACAATCTTCACTCTTGTGCTCATAAAAAAAATCTATATACCGAAAAGTTTTGACGGTACCTAGCTAAAACTTTATATTTTACTATTACTATGGTTTTGGTTTTAACTTTCTCCATGTGAAAAAGAGGCCTTTGCTCAGCAGTGGGCGTCTGATATTAAACGAATCGTGTTACGGGAATTACTTTTCAATCCACTTCATAGGTTTTTAAAGATATAAATATATTCTGCATACAAAACGGGTTCTGATAGGACTTGAATGGAAAAATAAGCAGAGTAATACAGTTTACGGTCACTTTGGCTAGATGGCGGTACTAGAAGCGGACAGTCAAAATGTTACTACTTTCATTTGACAGAACCTTATATCGAGTTTATTTATTAATCTCTCTGAACTCTCGTATTTAAGGAACTGAGAGCTAAAGTGTGTTAAATAAATAATTATACAATGTAGTTTTGACTCATTTGTGGATGGCAATGGCCAAGTAGAGTTTACTTGCATCTTTAGAGTGCACTCCACAGTTGCCATCTTTCCTTTAAAGAAGTCCAACATCCTACAGGCACTATTGGGACGGAAATACCTCTCATACAGCTTACTATTCAGGCCAAAAATTTCATAAGTAAATCCGAATCGGATCAGATGGGTGTCGTCTCTTTTAATTGACGGGGAACAGACACAATGCCACTTCCCTTTCCTCCTTCTCTTGGAGAGTGGGTACCACTCTTGGAGAGTGGGTGGGTAAACGATGTCTTTTCTATTTATTTCAAAATTCCAGATTTTGAGGCTATATAATATGCAGGAAATAAAACCATATAAATTTTTATAATCATATTTATATTTTGTTTTAACAAAAATGTAGCATAAAAATATAGAACAACATACCTAAATTATAATTTAATACACAGACTCATCTCCTCAAGATCAAGATGCTACAATACAACATATAAATGGAAAAATAATTTTAAAATTTTCAGTAATTAACATTTTTCCAATTTAATAATACTGACCCAAAAGTAATACATTAAACAAATACAAAACTAGTTTTTCCGTGCATCTTTAGGACTAGAATAAATATTTTTTAAATGATATAATAGGAAAAATAAAATTTTTAAATGGGTAATTATATTTCTTATGCACATTTTTTATAATAAAAAATCACATGAAAAATTAAAAATGGATCTGACACTTACAATAATTTAGTCTAATTATTACATATGTACTAAAGCAGTTACTTGAAAAATACTAGGAATTTCATTTAAAAATTACATTTTATAATAACACTTATATTCGAAACGACTTTACAAGTTGTATTTACAGGCAGTGTGTAGCTCGTGTGTGGGTTTTATAAATTTTCATATCAATAATACTAACTGACACTATCATTTATTACTAGAACACAATAATTTTGAAAACATCAAGAAAAAATATTTAAAGTTACTTAATATTGATTATTACCAATATTATATTAAATTTGATAATGACATATTAAATAATACAAAGCTGTATAACTTGTTACAATTAACAATAACTGCTGCCACTTGTATCCAATGTTCTGTGCTTAATGACTAACAACGACTAAGGCAACCATATATAATATACTATGTCCATACCTTTATCATACAATATATTAGCATAAAATTATAGTACTTAGACTAAATTATACTTTTCAATAATAATTATGTGCTGCATTCTATGTACCTAAATTTGACTGTTACTTATAAAAGAATTTTGAGTAGCTTTTAAAAAAATATCATTAATTAGGTATAAGGAAGGCTTATACCTAACTCAATTTCTTAAGGCATTTTTAAGTATACTGTGATTCTTATTTTGTTTCATTAATAATACTTATACAGAATACCAATTAAAATATACAGACAAATACTTGTTGCACAAAAAAAAATCACAAATTAAGTACTTGCTTCAACATAAAGATAATATATATTGCACAACTTGATTGCATTAAATAATACTTTAAGGAATGTTAAAAATAAATCTCTCCCATTAAATAATGTAAATAATTTTAAACCAACAGAAAAATAAATATGTTCAATAAATCTACAAAAATAAATCTATAACATGATCATTATAAATTTCAATCAATAAAAAAAAACTAAATATATCGATATATTTTTATACCTGTGATGTCTTTTTAAATACAATGTGTTATATTCAGCGAGTTGTATTTTATCTGTCCTTGTTGTTTATGATATGTAATCTGTGACAGTGTTGGAGCCCAATAACAGTTAATAACAATCAGGCGATTAAGTGGATTGTCACAAAAAACATGAGTAATTTAAAAAAATTGAGTATTTATTGTTAATACTACCCTCAAAAACTTTATACCGTGGGTATAAGGTCAGTGTCTTAACAATATTGCTGTTATAATTATAAGGCGAAGTTTTCTAGTGGATATGTGATCAATCATATAATCCAAAGCAGATTCTGTTTGAGAGACTCTGAATGTAGATTGATCACATGAACCAATAGTTCAAGACGTGTAGTGTGACAATCTTAACGTCTTATGCGGACAATTTCGTTCTCTACCCGAGATATCGGTTGTAGGGTGACCAGGCAATGGGAGTTTATATTCGAATTGGTCAGCACTATAACAAATCTCTTGAAGAATGATTATATTCTCATGCGTTGAGTGATGGGAACCAGGCGGCGAGGCCAGTACGAGCGGGCAGAGCTGCCCGGAGTAAAGCCTCCTCGTGAGCGGACAGCCTCAGTAACGTAGACAACGCTCGAGTCAACTGGCGCGCCTCCAACTCTCGGGATGTTAGGAATCGCAGTACCACGTGCTTCAAGTATCTAAAAATAAAATTGAATAAAGATGGACCACAATTTTCATACAGTATAAATATTTTTATCTATTGCCGTATAAGTTATAAGGAATGTAAATAAAATATTTACCGTCTGCTAATATCCTGTTCTTCCGCTGATGTAAGATCCGTTTTACTGCTTTGTAACTCTCTCTGTAGGGTTTTCTTCATGTCCGATATTCGATTATCTAAAGTCTTAATTTTCTGTAACATTCAAAATATATATTTATATAGGTGTTTTCATTATTATTTGTTAGTACAAGGAAAAACAGTTATCTTAGAAAATGTGTTTTACCTTATTTTTATCACAGATTTCGGTTTCTAAGTCTTGTATGCTTTTCTTAAGAGAATTTTCGCTTTCCGTAAAAGCCTCAATTCTCTTCTGAAGATCTTCGATTTCTTTGGTTCTCGCTTTTTCGTTTTCTTTTATTATCAAACACTCGGCTTGGTTCTGTAACGACACAAATAAATTATAAATAAATTGGAGCGATTAAAAATAGCATACGCTGTATAACGTACAACAACATTGGAAGTTGTTATCAGTTGAGATAAAAACTTTATCTTCATTCTATATACAAAACAGCTACCTCTCTATGTTGTGCAACAACGCTCTCGACCTCAGTAATCTTGGCCTTTAGGTCGACAACTTCATTTTCTAAGTACCGTACATTACATTGACTCATCTCAATGTTTTGTGACATGTGAGCATTTCTTAATAACGCCTCGTCTTTTTCTCGCCTCTCTCTGAAAAAGATGAAATTTGGATGTTTATTACATATCACCGGCTTTGAGTTCGCATTAAGAAATAGTTTTATATGCCTGAACAGATATTTTTAAGGCAATAGGTCTTTATGAGTTCCTTGTCCTATATTTTAACATTGACCTATTAAGAAATAATTTATTGATAAACTATATGCTACTCCTTAAAATCCTTCTGACTTTTAGTTCACCATGAATCAAAAATCTTATAATCTTAAATGTAATCTTACTTTTCATATTTCCTCTGTAAGTCTATGTAGTCGTGTTGCATGTCCGTCATTGCAGTGTTAAGATGTGCCAGCTCTTCCTTGTTCTCGTCACACATTCTGTTTGATTCTTCCAGGTTAGCTTCTAGAACCTTCACCAGCCCCCGCTCAGTCTCCAAAGCCTCTAACAATTCCTTGTTTTCTTCGGTCAAAACTCTTATTCGATTTTCCAACTCAGTTGTTATGTCCTAGAATAAAAGTAAATATGAAGTTTTCTTGTTTAATAAAACGATCAAATTCAATGCCATGTGATTTAAAAGCGGTATTAGTTAAAACCAAGCTCACAGCAAAAAAGAAATCTAAAAATATACTGGTGAATTTTACGAAATTTTGATACCGTTTCTTGATTTAACTTAAGTATATAATAATATCATTGATTTAATTATCTCTTAAAATAATCGAAGAAGTCAAATATAAGCAAGTCTAAACATACATTAAAAAATACAATACTAGTTATTTTATTTTTATATTAAAATGAAATATTAATTTATCAACTGAATAAATAAAAGCACTACGGTACTTTCCAACATGAAACAGTTGTGGTCAGTGAAATAAAAGAGAAACAGGAGACACTAAGACTTGACTTGCTAAAGAAAAAGATAAGATTTATATACATGACATAAACATTATGAAGGTTAATAAAAATGTTAGCGACATTTGAATAACACAAATTAATTTAAAAACCATGAGGACAAATAAATAAAATGGTGAATATTAAAAACAAAATATACTTTATTCAGTGCAACTTAATATTATAAGTTGTATAAAAATAACAAAATATTTAACATAAAATATAATTTTAAATACTAAATATACTTCAAAATAAAACAAATAAAAATAATGTTAAATGATTCGTTTGGAATTAACAAGTCATTAAAATATATTCTACTCTTTGTATTAATAAAACAATTTTTATTACCCTGTTAGAACCTGTAAATAAACAAACCTTTCTACACATACAACATATTTTAAGTACTATACCAAAAAAAAAAACAGTGATATGGAATAAAAATAAAAACGAAATATTTATAAATAGGAAATATATAAAAAATACATTGGACTTCGTTGCATAAGATGCTTAATTAATATCTGTAAAATTTTATGAGACTAAAGGTTTCTATATAACTGTAAATTGTATATAAATAACTATTTAATTAATTGTTAATTTAAAATAAAATGGAATGTATTTTGTAATAAAATATAACTATTAATAAAATAGATCAAATATATGGAATGTTTACATAATTTTTTTAATCTATCAAAAGTCACTCTCGTGCCACAACTTATCTTATCAACCAATCATGTGCAAGATAAAAACTATAAAACGTAACAAAGCAAGCAGTACCATATTGAAGCAAACTAATTAAGAATATAAGCGATTCTCATTACACTATCACTTCTATACTCTTGACATAATACACTATACAGCATATAAAGTGCAAGCATTCTAAAATGTGACATATCAGCAGGGTTGCCACTACAATAATAAAGAAACATCTAATAAACCGAAACACGTGAACATCCAGGGTTGTAATAATTTACTATATGTTACAACTGGATGTAAGAAAAAATACAGAGTAATTGTGAACAGTAGTTCAAAAATAGAAGTAGGTATTTGAGAAAATACAAGTTTTTCACTTAATATTAGACGTCATGTATAAGGGTTGTCAAAAGGTGATCTAAATGGTGTAGGGTTGACTCACGGCGGCCCTCAGTGTTTTCAGTTCCTTTGCCTGACTTTGGACCTCTGCACTCAGCCGGCTCACCTGTATGGACCAACTTGACTCAAATTTTATATTTCTTAGTACAAATAATGTAGGAAAAGATATTCATTTTATATACAGAGAGTAAACAATGTTAGAAAAAGATAGTTTACATATTTATGGACATGCATGAGTGTTTAGATTAATAAGGCTTCCTTATAAATACATCACAATGTAGTGAATGAATAGCATTGGTGGAATTGGACTTACCCCATGGTACCAAACACACTGAATTTATAAATATTGAATTGAATCCTTTAGATGATATATTTTGGAACGAAACATTTCTTTTTTATAAACTTATTTATGAATGGTATAAAAGTATTGATATCAACATGTATATAGATTATACGTGAATAAGTATTTTATCTAACCTTAGCTTCACTGTTGGCGAGATTCTGTTTAGTTTTTTCAAGTTCAGCTGCCATATTATCAAGTTTCTCGCGTAATTCCTTTTTTTCTACTTCAATTCTCCGTCTCTCCGCACCCTCTTCTCCCGCCTGTCTTGATACTCTTGCCACCTTAAAAACACTTTATTAAGTAACTCAAAATTCATTAAAAATAACAAAAAAAAAAAATACACTTGGAAGTTGAGTTATCGTTGTATAAGTAATCAAAACCTTTTCACACGTAAAACAAAACAACTTCTTACAATATTTTAACTATATCGTAAGGTAATAAAACTCTCTAAATCAAAACATAGTAAGTGTCCGTTATCAACTAAATTATTTGACCTTGTCACATATTAAATATGTTTATCACCTGTGTCTCTAGCGCGGCGATCTGTCCGCTCCATGACGTCTTGACATCAGCGAGCGCCATCTTGGCCTCCTGTAGTTGTCGCGTCAACACTGCCCTCTCGCGGCAAACTCGGTCGTAATCCTCGCAGCCGGTAGGTTTAAATTCGCGTTTATCTTTAAACAAAACAAACATTCCGTTTTAAAAAAACCTGTTCCAATATTAGCTAATCAATTTAACATCATGTTTTTCCATATTTAGATATATTCCATTAATAAATTGCTTTAGTCATTAAACCTCAAACATAAGGAATATGAAAAGTACAAAAGTAATTAAATGGTTGTGCTAATGGTGACTGGTTTATTTTTTACTAGCTTTCAGCCCGTAGCTTCGCCTGCGCGGAGTTCGGTTATATTGCGTTTCCAAGAGAACCTTTCAAAAGTCTGGGATAAAACTGTCCTATGTTCTTTCTCAAGGTCAACTCTATATCTGTACGAAATTTCATTAAAATCAGTTCAGTGGTTTAGGCGTAAAAGCGTAACAGACAGACAGAGTTACTTTCGCATTTATAATATTAGTAGGGATTACCGTCGTCGTGCATATGATGCATTTCGTGCCCCACAGGCAGAGCAGCCTTAACGACCGCCAGTTGGTCTGCCAGGTCTCGCGCCCGTGCATCCGCAGCACTAAGTGCCGCTGACAGTTCCGCACGCGTCCGTGACCATTCACGACGACTTTGCTCCACTTCTTCCTAATTAAAGAATTTTAGGATATTAAAGAAATTAGACATTGTATAGAAATGTCTAATCATATGAATTTTTAAGTAAATATTATATATTTATGAATGGTTCTTGACAATGAATATAATTATAACAATTAATTTTAAAATAATGTTTTTTTGATTGTAGAAGATATTTAAAAAATATCCTGGATGGTAAAGATACTAAATCAACTTTTATAGAGGCTGCATTCTAAAGCTGTCTTGTCAAAGACATATTTTTATTATAATACTAGCTGCGCCCCACGGTATTACCCGCGGATTTTCGGGATGAAAAGTAGCCTACATGTTATTCCTGGACGTCAGCTTCCTTTATACAAAATTTTATCAAAATTGGTTCAGTCGTTTGAGTGTGAAGAAGTAACAAACATACACACACACTCACAAACTCTCGCAATTATAATATTAGTAGGATAATTTAAAAAATGGCAACCCTGAACACAAAATAATATTAAATCCTTACTGAGAGTACATCCAGTTTGTCCTGTGCGCTCTCAGCTGCCGCTAGTCGTGTTCTGTATTCAGCTAGTTGTTTTTCCATGGCATCTTTCACACTAATTGCTTTCACTGCTTCAGCCTGAGCTGTTCGAGCTACTGCTTGTGCTGCTAAAGCTTCTTCGCCTTTTCATATAAAAATTAATATAAAAGAAATAAACAAAATATGTATATTTTAGTTCATATACACTAAATAATGCTTGTAGATTAATCAAGCACAGTCTGTTTTCATTTGAAATTATTTATTAACTCTTTAATTTATATGTATGATAAATGATAATGTATTTTTATTATTAGGTAAATACAAAAAGCATGAAAAAAATCTACTCTTATTATTAGAAAACCTTGTTCATGGTGAAAATTTAATAAAATTCTATAGGATACCTTGTACAGTTGCCAAAGATAATTTCATCTCCTCAATCTTCTGTTCCCAATACAAGTCTTTTTCTCTAAGTTGTGCTTCCAACTGCTCTGTATATTGCTGATGTAAAGCTGCATGATCCACTGTAGCTCCTGTCCGATCGGCCAAGTATGTATGCAATTGTGGTGATATAGACTGGAAATATAAAAAAATACAGTATTATCAATGGCAAGTCCTTTTTCAAATTCATAGATTTTATTTTAATTCTCTAAGATATGAAGGTCTTAGTGACTATTATTCGAAAATATCAATATATACTACTAAGTTTAAAAAATTCAAACAAAAAATTCTATTATTTACAATGACCTTGTATAGATTATTGAAAGTTTTTTTGATTATTTGTGCAAGAATTGTTATTAGTTACCAAATTACAAACATAAGTATTGCATAACTTAGAAAACTATATCCACCTAATCATAGAAAGTTTTCTAGTGGATTCAAAACATATTGTGATACACCTTCAAAAACTGTGTCTGGTGTAATTTTGATATAAAAAATTTAAATAAGTTGTAACCTCAATATTTTAATCCTCCAAATATTTATGTAGAAAATATATAATGAGAATTTTTATTGGAAATTGTGGCTACAGAATTAACAAATATATCATAAACAATGATGAGAAATAAAAATAAGTTAGCAAATTCCCATATAACACAATTAATAAAAAATTAAAGAATATCTTCAACTCACATCTGATGTAGAATCACCTGGCCCGCCAGAGCTGGATGGACTTGTTGTTGTTGACTAAAATATAAAACATATCTTGAGGAACATATGTTGATAGTTATCATAGATGAAAACCCGAATAGCATTTACATAAGAGAAGTTACAATCATCACTAAGATAAAATATGATGGTAATAATTTAGTGTTTTTGTAACTTACTGAATCATCTCTGAGAGTTATTCTGCCTAAAAAAGCACCACTTCGCCAGCTACTTGTTAATTTACTTATATCACTGCCAGTTTCTTCTTTGATTTTACTTTTTAAACTTGCGAACATCTTGACTCATTAATACTAAATCTGCAATAAATAAAACATGAAATCACAACTTGCCAAATATTTTATTTAATTACTTTCTGTTTATTACCCAATGTTGACAATATTATGTCGGTTTTTAATCAGCTGGAGCACAAAAATTAAGATTTCTATTTCTAAAGACCATGTCTTATATAATTAACATTATGCTATTTAAATATTAAATATATTCGGCAACAATATTATTAAAAGCACTAGATATAAAATTATAACACCAAAAAATATGTTAATTGTATTTTTTTGACATTTTGAGATAAAGTCATTCACAGAGTAAATATGAAGTAAGTTTGACACGCACATCCAGATTATAATTAATTTTCATTTACAATTTTAACAATATCCATGTTGTAATTTTATACTTTCACAACATGTTTTAATAACGAACACTAGCATTTATATATTATTCTTTAGATGATGGTGACAGATTTTTAATAAGATGAATATACTCAAATACTAACGAATAGGAGTATGAGCATATTGTTATTATTTCTCTCCGGTCTATAACTATTACTTTTTAAATTCTCAAAATATTGTAAACGCGAAAATTTTTATTTCTTACCCTTTTACATAATAACTACAAATAGATGTTAATAAAACTATATAATATCTCGGATAACAATAACTTTAGGGCTAGAGCCTTTACCTCATTATATTGTGTAATTCCTTCAAGACTTTATAGGCCAGTGCAGATGCCTCTAAAAGTGATGAAAAGTGAAAATAAATTATAGTAGAATGAAACCCATTAGAAAAGGAGGGGAATATTATAAAAATTAAGTGAAAAATAATTTACAGGCGATCTGAGGCCGGGAAGGGTACGGGCGTGGGTATTTAAGGGTAAAAAATGGGTTTTCTCGATTTCCGGAAAAACTAAGAGTCCTAATGAAAAATGTTATATGTCAAAGTTGTAGGTAATAAAAAGATCTAAAACTTTTGTACGAACATTTTTTTCACATAACCTCAAATTTTATGTGAAAAATTTGAAAAACCAAGTTTTTGATTTTTTATTTTTATCTCTTACAAAAAACAATATTTTGTCGCGAAATTTTGTGAAAAACTTTTCTTTTGATATCCCAAATACACTGTAATTTATTTGATTAGAAATATTTATTTTTTCAGCTTATTTTGAATAAATATCAAAAAATCAGCCTCATTTTCAATCGAAAAATCACCCGTCAAAATATTAGCGTTTTTCAAAAATTTTGTGTGTTTTCTATTTGTGAAGAAAAAATATAAATTTCTAACTTGCAGTACTATTTTTGGATAAAATAATCATGTCTCTTTTAATAAAATGACATTCGACATCGGTTTGAAAATGCTCTTTTTAATTTATTTTTAATAATTGTGTACTCTGGAAGTTCCTTTCATTCTACTATAATTTAATTATGTTTTAAAAGCAATCGGCACTGGTCTATTAGCATAATCTTTACATTTCATGTAAAGTCATGTGACAGGCGGTAGATGGAGTTGTCGATTATATATATTTATTTATTTTATATCTTTGAACTTGGAAATCTATTCCAAAGCTTATTACTCCTCTTGCTCATTCGTGTCAGGAATGAGAATAAGAAAAGAAAAAAACTAAAAAACATAAATATTTAAATAAATAAGGTTTCCGTTAAAGTGCAACATGGAAAAAGGTTGAAAATTCATCTCTTTGCACTTATGACACGAAATAATTTTTAGTCTCAGTAAAGTAACCGCAATGTATCGATGAGTGGAGAAGACTTCCAAAGGCAAGGGCAGTTTATCCATCTGTGAAATTCTGTGTATATTTTTGTTTGATACATAATTTAAAAACTTGAATTAAACTAATAGTCCCTAATCTACTTCTTGAAACGAATTCATTTTGCCCATTTTTATGCTTTTAAAAGTTTTATAAAATATGCTTATCACATATTCAAGCCTGTTTATGAAACGGTTTAAGTTTTTTGTATACTTAATGGCAACAAAGTAAAAAAAATCATTACAAGAAAAATATCTTTCTAATGATTAGTTATTTATTAAGTAGTTTTATATTTTGACAAAGATGGCAAGTATTGTAAAACACTTTTATTACAGCGAAATGCATATAAGGATTTTAGATATCTTGAAATGTATGACTAGATATTTCGCAATGATTAAGAAACAAGGCCATTTACTTAAAGTAATAGTAGAAGTTTAAACTATATTCAATTTCCTTTCATTGGAACTTCTCGTAAATAAGTACTTAGTCTATGAATAAAGTCCTTCTTAAACTACTTACTGCAAGGAACAAGCTAATTTTAATTGATAGTTCATTTCTCTATCAACTGTGTGATATCACAACACAATATGGACAGATTGTTTTTTTCAATTCATTTTTCTTAACAAATTGTGTATTATTTGTTTACAACTTGGTTTTCCATTATAATGATTTACTACAATAGTATAAATTTAATACAAGGATTTTATTCTAAATTTCTAAAATAAAAATCATTACTGATTTTTTTCTTTATTTTTAAAATTTTATCAAATTGCTTTGCTTTAGTAAGTAATGTAATAAACATCTTTTGTCTGATGGATTTACTTTGTGAGTCATAATAGGTCATCAAGTTTGAAGATTTCTGTATATGATTATTTGGTATTTGGTAAATATTTGTATTTTGTGTCAAGCAGTCATCTACTTATAAGGAGGGTAAGGGATTGTATAAATAACACTCAAGTTACATATTCAGTTGTTTATTATTATCTATACTGTACTCAAAATTGATCCGAAGATCACATCACATAGTAATTTCATAAATAATATTACAATGTCATGTACTTTCTGTGATTGCTCGTGAATAAAAAAATGTCACAATATTATCAATACTTTGTTCTCTGGACCGGTTTACCTTTAGTAGATGTACCTACTACATAATAATATACCACCATAAGGTACTGAAGAACTTACAGCGTACTTGATGAGAGTTATAATAATAATCAATAATTATTGTGTTGCAGTTCATTTTTTTTTGTTAATATATTTACAGTTTTACATTTTTTTTTGTGATTTACAAATAAATTCTTGAATATTTAATTAGGTCTTCATTATTCCATTTGGATTTATAATAACAGTACTTTATAGTTAAAAATATCACAAAAATGAAATATATTATGTGTAAGACACACGCAACATTAAAAATACAACAAAAGAAAAATATAAAAAATCCACTAGAAACCTTGGGCCAGAAGAGTCCCTTCTAAACAGGAAGGATACTTTCGATGTTCATATTATAACGGCAATTTAATACCATAATTATTATTATTATCACACTAATTAATTATAAAAGTAATCGATTGTCTTACAATAAATGCGTCAGATCATAAAATTTTGGTAATAAAAATAATAGGCAACAAATAATCCATGAAACTATAAAATTTAACAAAAAAATAATAAATGACAACTTATGTATTTAAGTCATATAGTGCCGTATTGATAAAAGCGAACCGTCCTCTTGCCGGCGGCCGAGCTCCTTGGAGCGGGCCTGGCTGGGACTCTATAACCATACAACCAACCAAACACTAACGCAACCGTCTCCTAATGAGTTTGACTCCATCTTCCGATATTCATCTTTTATCGATATGGCATTCCACTTACAATATACGACAATAAATATAACGCACTTACACATTAATCACTTCTTTAATTCCGACGCTAGGAATTATTTCATAATATATATACCTAAAAATATAATCACGGCACAAGTATCCCTCCGACTAAATAACTAACATAGTGTCACTTTATCAGGATTTAGAATCAAATATGTATTATGTATCTTAAATATTTCATTATTAATATATCATTATCAAAATATCCACTAAATGGGAGGAATAAATCAAATTATTAATATTTTATTCTAACATTAATCGCATGACTGATCAACAAAAGGATATGGACTAGGAATAATAATAGGCATAAGGCTTCCATGCCTCGGGAAGATGCTTCGTCACCGAGCGTCACCGAGCGATAACCGAGCGATAACCGAGCGATAACCGAGCGACACCGAACGATAACCGAGCGGCACCGAGCGCTCGGCGACGCGGCACCTCCCGCCTCTCTCTATCCGCATATCACCTCTACATACATACGACGAGATTAATTTGATCAAAGTTAATACTGTTTATATAGAAAACAATACAGGGGAGCTGTTTCATAGATCTATGCTCGTCGAAAGGTCGTTCGAGAAACGATCATCGGTCGCTATTTTGTGCTTCGTTAGACGGGAATTGATTAAAAAAAATAAAATGATTATCTAGCAAAATCTATCGGGAATAAAAGCCAACGTTATATCCTAAAATTTAGCTTGGAAGTTTGCCTTCTTCGTTTAATATTGTCCGACAAGTTTAATAGTTTTCCGAATGTTAGTCCACTATCACTCTACGAGTGTCGTGATCTAATCTAAGGTGAGGGACACAGTAACGCGGCACAGCGACGGTAACCGAACGGACGAAGCGGCGCTCCACAACTTGTATTGTGCTCCGGCCTCAATAGTATCAGTGCCGAAGGAGAGAAGCGGCTACTCTATTGGTGTTTCATTACTGATCCACTTAATCTAATCTAGTGTAAAACTTGTCATCTATAAAAACATAAATTTAATTTCATAACACAGTAAAAAAAAGTAACATAATTCTCACAAAAATGCTAGTAAGTAGGAGTGATGCAAACCGGACCTGCTCGGCGCGGCGGACGGCCGGCCGAGCACTAGCATCGCCCGTATATTAACCTCGCTTATTTACAACAAAGTCTCGCGAATCTTTACAGGAACTCATATCGTATCTTAAAAAAATAATATACAATAGTAATAAAACATTTGAAACCTCACTAACTACTGTTCAACGATCTCGACATCATACAAACGGCTCCGGCGTGTCGTGTTCATTCTATATATTCATATCACAATCGCATGACCGTGACCGTGCCTGAGAATCTTAACCCGCTACTATGTACACACTCATTCCCTGGAGGCGAGGCGAGCGCGAGGGGGGCGGGGGTGAGGACTCCCCGCACGCTCGCGTCGCTCGGGAGAGTCTCCGCCGGGGAGCGTCAGTACCAGACTAACGAACCTGCCATTCCGAGGGTGTCGGGGGATAGGGACGACGAGGGTCGAAGGAGATGAAGTGGCGGAGGGATGGGGCCGGGGGTGCGCGTGTGTGTGAGTGTGTGTGTGTGTGTGGGGAGGTGGAGGGGTGAGGTTAGGGGGGGCGCAGCGCGCGGGAGGTAGCTGCACGGGGATGTGGTAGTAGCGGCAAGCGGCGCGGCGACATGTGCCGGCGGCAGCGTCGCGGCACACAACCACGCGGCACCCCACCACCTGCAGCCCGCACCCTGATACAACACAACATATTATATTTATATGTAACAATACTATACAATATAACATTTTATTATTGATTGAATATTATAAATGATATACACTGCTCTAGTTATATGTTGGTAGCTCTCTAGTATTTTAAACATGCAACTACCACACGGATTATATGTTTGTACGTTATGAGGAGTGGTTATGCGTCATAACATATATCAGATACTACTGTCTAAATCTATGACTATGTAAAACATTTTAAAGTGCAATTAATCGCTAAAGTAAGTTAGAACAAAGTACATATAATGAAGGTACTAAATACGTAACTACATTAAAATATCTGAAGGACCTGTAAACTATGGAAATTTAGTAACATAGTTAAGAGCAGAAGTATGGGAGAAGACATGCAACTGATATTGTTAGGGAAATCTGAGATTTGTTCTATTCTATTATAGAGGTTGTTATAAAGGTTTAAAGGTGTATAAGATTATGTTAAAGGGGAAATTTATAGGAGAACAGATAAAGATTTTTGATATATTAAAATGTTACCTTCACGAATATGAACGAATCTGCAGGTAGGTCTCGTACATCCTTGTCGATTAAAATCTTGGCACACCGGGAGGGTGTCCAGTAACTGTAATACATAAAGGGAACAGTAAGACAAACAATCCATCGATATTTTTATATATAATAGTACAGTTTCACCACATTAAAGCTATATTTAATAAACTGCGTATTAAACGCTTGTTTTGAGTCCATATTTCACTTATTTATTGACTGATTTAAATAAGGTTCTACAGTTCACAAAGCACTCTCTTGAACTTGTTTTGACTAGAAATAATTACAGAATATTACATTTCTATATTTCTTTCATGTGGCTCAACTGTCAAAATAGTTTAGTAACTATTTAATACATTTCATAAACAGCCAAAAACTCTTTTTTTGTTATACTAGTAACTTATTAATGTATATTAGCATAATATTAATATATATATTTTATATATGCGAAGGTTTGTTTGTTTGTGACGGTTTATGATATCCGTTTATGTTAATAGTGTTAATTCTAATTTCTATATCTTTATAGACATTCATACATCTGTCACGATACGTATCCTCATTGCACAGCCGTCTGAAAAGAAATCGCAATCACAGCTTTTGTAATATCGAAGAGCAGATCTATACAACTGAACTTAATAATTCAACGGTCATTGGACTTCTCGTTGGGTATCATTGAACGTTTGGACAAATGCGTGTGAGTTTCTCAAAGGATATGTAATTTTATGGAATGAAATGAAGACACACGGAAGGCTTAATCGCTCGAAATCAAATCTTGTCGCTGCTTCAATATTACAATAACTTTACAAGATTTGTTGCACAATATGATTGTACCTTCCAAGCATTCTTTTAACGGGGCGCTGACAGTGTGTCACTTTTATATTGTAATATCTGTTGGTATAAAAACATCTATAGATATATTAACAAGAGGCCCGGAGGCGAAGTGAGTCGTCATCGCTGTGTTCCGTAACCGACATAGTAGTGTTAAGTACGCTGCCTGCACTATGCACATAGTAGGTATGAATATATAATATCTAAATGGCATGCAGAACGCTTGAAATATAATCATTATTGCGCAGCCAATCTTATTTAAGCGTGACTATATTTTACAAAAAAGCTAAAGCATGATGCTAGACAACTTGTACCAGGGCGAGGGCGTTCTATAGGTTCTGTAGCGTCCAAAGTGTACCCATAAAAACCAACGGTTGCTATAAGCTTAAGTAGGCTGTGTGTAGGGAGAATTGCGAAATGTGTCTGCTTCGGCCGCTGTGATTCCTTCGAGATCCGCAGAGGAAGGAGGGCGGTCATGCTATCTTAACGGAGGTAGGCATGGTTATATGTAAAAAGACAAAATTAAATTTATACCTTTAGCTTACATGACAGTTCTGGACGTGACATGTTAGTGGTAGTACATACTGCAACATAATGACCATTAGATAGTGCGATTACTGTACGACAAACAAAACAAAACCAAGTATATTAATTACGGCTACAGTGAGTACTTCAAGTAAGCATCGGAGAGGCTTCAACGAGTTCTTAAGCGAGGGACTGAGGCCGCGGCGAGGCACTTAAGCATTGTTAAAGAAAACTCAAAGTGGATAATTGGCCGGCGAATAAAAGGAAATAATATTATTATGACATCCTTAGACCGTCACATAATTACTTCAATATAATACATAATTGGGCTCCAATTACTTTGACTTTTCTTATTTCACAACCGTCAATTCAACTACCAACTACGCAAAAAAATTATATTAATTAAGAAGCGTTTATAGCTCGAATTAGTGAAAATAAAAACCCCCTTTGTAGCGGTTGATAGTTGACACTGCTGTAAGTGAAACTTTACTAAGAAGTTGCCACTTAGCCAACACTTCATTAAAACACAAAAAAAAATCATTACCATTTAACATTTCAATAAAATACATTTCAATAAGCTGGCAACTCTTTAGTATAACGCTTATACGGGCTTCGACATTTTTTATTAATAAAATCTGCCTTTACTGAAATATCCGAAACATACAGATATTTTATTATAATGTTTAATATTCATTTAACACACCACAGTTACATGCTGTTAAGCGGCATTTCAATATAGGCGTCAAACAGGAGAAAACTTATACATAGAGGATATTATAGTAAGCTGATTATATCTTACCGGATGTAAGCAAGGCAATACTGTAGAGTGACTTCTTCCACATTTGAAAGCAAGAATGTTTCACTATACAAAACTAAATAAAAATCATCAACATGTAAGTTGTAGCATCAACTGTTTACAATATATATATTCATTACAGCACAGTGACTAAATGATGGATGTGACGATGACATTGACAAATGACAGGCTGACAAGCAATGCCATCACTTTAAAATACCGAAAAAGTACTCGCACAGAATGTCCAAAATATCTGTGTCGTTGAATATGTAATTAAAATTTCAGGAATAACCTGATTCGCTGTTTAAGCTTTTAGTATATAATAAAATTATTTATTTAGTTGAAAGGCATCCTTACAGTGATGTGCCAGTTGGACACGAAGCTCCACCAAGCGTACCTCGACCATGTTGTTACGAGGGCCCTAGTTATAGTGAGCAGAGCAGTTCATAGCTTGCTGTTCATTTAATTTATCGTTATTCACGACTAAAGCGTTCTAAATGTTTCTACGGAAGCGTCTTACGAAAGCAAGCTCATAGAGAATATTGATTTGTTATGTCCTGTTAATTCAAAGTCTAATCCTTTTTAGTTTATATTTATATTTGTTATTCATAAAAAAATCTTTTAAAATGGTAAAGGTTTATAAGCATCGGATAGAGAGGGTAGAGGCGATATGGAAATAGTAATTGCTGTAGCTTACTGGTTAGAGCGAACACACTTGAGCCCGTGATCGAAATTGTAGTGCAGAAAAGTTGCAGAACGCCGAAAAGGTAGAGCCACTGCACACGAAAATTGAAGTAGCCTAGCGTTAATACATTATACATGCTTAAATATCGTAGGGGAGGAAGAGGAAGCTTGGTGTGTTTGGGGAGCAAAAGCGTGAGCATGGGCACTTGGGGAGTGGCGTTGTCATGGGCGTGAGCATGGGCGTGGGCGTGCGGCACGCGGCACACTTTACCTGTCCGCGCTCGTCCGTATACTCCACGTAGGGAGCGTTCGGTGGCGCACAGCCTGTCCGTCCCCAAACAAAAAGCGACAAAAGATTGCAATGCGGACGACAGCCGAAGCGGTCATTCGGAAGGCATGTAACAGAAAGCGTTAAAAATAAATAGTAAGAAGTGCGACTGCGAGAAATGCGAGAGCGACGCACGTCAGCTCCGCGAGTCTAATGATGAACACGCCGGCAAACATAGCACACACGAGGAGCACTAGAATAATGATTAAAATACCTGATGAGCCAAACGTATACAGGGTGGTGGGTTCTATCCATGCGATAATTAGAAGGCGGCTGTGTTAGGTGCGGGCTCGCTGCTGCAAGCCGGTAACCAGTAGGCACTGGATCGACACAATGGCCAAAGCGCACCCGTGCGGAGATTCTCCGAGAACAAGCGTGTACGTAGCGGGAGACGGGATCGACGGACCAAGCGCTCAACTCTCAGTACGACGATAGTCACGAGAAACGACGATCGACAAGAGGTAATAAAAAACGTACAGTCATGCATTTCAAGCGTTATTATTACCGGGATCGTAGATACGAGAAATATACACGCATAAGATAATAACGTTAAGTAGATACATAATAGAATAGATATAGCATAAAACTACCTAGACTTCCGCGAGACGGGAACCGCTCGCTTCGTCCTTACAATAATACAATACAAATGTGACAACACGCCTAGCGCTAACGCCCCGACAGGCCAGGGCCACACTATCGCACACGTACGAGTCTCTACGCGGAGACCCCGCACCCCGCGCCCCTCCGGCCGCGGCCCGCCCGCGCGTCTTAGGTCGTCTTCATCTTTTTGTAGGGGTTGACTGCAGCGGCCGCCGCCGCCGCCGCCGCGCGCCGCGGAAGGAGCCGCGGGCGGGGGCATCGCGTACATGTAAGGCTGCTGGTAGAAGGCGGGCATGGGCACGGGCGGCGCGGGCCAACCCGGCCGCATCATGAGCGGAGCGCGCATCAACCCCGGCATGGCGGCGCGGGCCTTGAACGCCTGCTGGGTGTAGGCGGCGGCCGCGTGCGCCATGGCGGAGTGCTGAGCGGCGAGCGCGAGCGCGGCCGCGTAATTCTTGTGAGCGACCTCTTTGGCGACGGCGGCGGGGTCCGGTACAGCCGCGTCGGCGACGGAGACGGGAGGCGAGGCGGGCGCGGGAGGAGCGGGCTGCGCGGCGGGCGGCGGGCCGGCCTGGGGGAGCGGCGCGGACGCGGGCGCCGGCTGGGGTCCTGCGGCGCCCGACACCGCGGTCACCGCGGCCGGCGGGGCGGACGAGGCGGGCGCGGGGTACTCACATGACACGGGCACGAATGGCTGCTGCAGCTGCATCAGTTGCTGGTAAGTAGTCGCCGGCTGGTATACGGGAACTCCGGCTTTGTCGGCGGCTTGTCTTTTGTACGGGACCACACCGGGAAAGGCCTGAAAACGAGAGGGTGAATGTTCAGTGAAATGTGTTTATCTCGTCAGTTTCTTGGTTCCTGGAGTTATTTATTCATCGGAATACTTACGAAGTTATCGTAATAGAAGGAACCGACGCTTTTCATGTCCATCTGAAAAGAGAAATAAAACGATTGAGCGGAATTCGTTGGGCTCGAGGGCGGAGGTCGCGAGGGTGGCGTGCCGCGGGCTGGCGGGGGCGTTCAGTCCGCGACATACCACCAGTTATGGTGTTTGTGGGGGAGGAGGGGGGGCCTGGGAGCGTGCAGGCGGGAGCAGGCGGAGGGGGGGGAGAAGCGTGCAAAGCTGGCGGCTATACCGGTGGCGGCTCGAGCTCGGCGGGCGCCGGTCGTTTCTTGCCCGGCTCCGAAGTCGTGCCCGCTGCCGGCTGCTGGGCTGCGGCGGCCGTCTACGTGAAGCCAAGCGTCGCAGGACGGGACAGAAACAATAACGATGTAATAGATGCACAGAATACACCTAAAGCTCAGCATAAGGTGATATTATGCGATAGATAAAAAATTAAAAGTAAAGCGTGAGTGCGACGGAAGCGTGGCGCGGAAGACCGCGGCGAACTCAATAGAACAAGCTCTGCGAACATAAGCGGCGTCGCGGCGAGCGAGACCAAGCGGAAGAAGAGAAGCGAGCGCGAGCGAGCGAGGCGAGAGCGTGCAGCCTGGTGGCGTACCGCGCCGCGCGCCTGCGCCTTAAGGTGCGCCTGCAGGTGCAGGGGAGGGTGGAAATAGCGGCAGGGGTCGCGGACGCAGCGGCCCTTGACGGCGTCCATGCACACCGTGACACAGCCGTCGTCGTGAGCGACCACCGGCGGCGGCGGGTGCGCGAAGCGACACTCGGACTCGGCCCGCTTGCACGCGCCGCGCAGGAACTCCCGGCACACCTGCACCACCACACACCAGCCATGTCGCGCCCTGCCGCCCGGCCGCTCGCGCCCCCCCGATACACATTACAACCCTTACTAAGTAACTACACCGGACCGCCAATACTTTCATTATTACCCCTTGGCTTTTAATTATTCTTCGATCGCGACACAAAGAAACAAACTAACTAGATGCTTGTCTGAATAGCATAAACTTGATATTCAGAACTAAGACATCTGTTGTAATTCTACAGTAAAATGATTAATATTATGTGGTTATCTTCACCCGACGCCGCTTTATGACTATAATTTTGAAAACTGTAAACGCATCCGTCGCATCTTTTATTTTTAAGTTATATATTGATCGAATCAGCGAAAATATTAAATGTAGTGTAATCAACTAGCACCTCAAAATAGATGGAGATATATTATAGTGATAATTTACTAACGCAAGAGAGGCGGCAGCATTTTGGTATGAAATATGACGATACTATATTACGTACAAAAGAATAGCGAAATTTTCTGTAATTTTTGGTTTTTATAAAGCGTGGGGGAAATATTGCCTACATAGAGACAACACTATAGACCTTTCACCACGAAGAGATCAAGCGAGTGATGCTCGCAAAGCGCACGCGCAGTCGTGTTGAGCCAGCGCGCCCACGCCACAGACACACGAGGACAGGTTTAGGCTGCACCGCCTTTACTTGGCTTAGGAGACCGACACAGTTTATACAGTATTCATAAACTACTTCCACATTAATTACTTTAAAATATTTATGTCGATCTCCGGAAGATGTGGCAACATCAGGAAGCACTACTCGGAGTTGGGGATCGTAAATGAATCAAAGGGGTAGCGGAATGTTCATACCTCAAGACGGTCAGTACGCGGCAGTTTCTGCTGCAGTACGGGCTGCTGCATGACTCCTAGTGGCGAGGCGGCGGCCGCGGACGGGTCGTGACCCAACACAGCCGGGACCAGCTGCGGCGCATAGTATTGAGCATACGTCGAGCCCACTCCGGGCACACCCGATAAGTAAGGTGATGTTGCCTGTTATACAACACGTTGTCTCAGATTATAAAATACTTACCATTAAGAAAATGTTTTATAAAAATATTTTTACTGAAATTTAATCTTAAAAATTAGAAAATGATAAGAAATAAGACTATTAATAATATTGGCACCTGTTTTACATATTTTTAAAAATTGACGTTAATCAATTTAAGCAGTAAGTAGCATGCATTTTAAGAACAATATTTCAGATATTAAATTTGAATAAGCGTACTTTCTTAAAGCTATTTTCACTGGCCATATAAAGAAATAAGTATTTAAATTTGTAAACCTCTTCAGTATAGGTATTTTGCAGATAGTCTAGATTAAGTCCAAAAGCCTATGCTACAGGTTAGTTTAATTAGAACAAGAGTGCGGGAGACGAGAATCGGGAAGCTTGGAGGAATAGGCGAGTAGTGAGGCAAGAGGTGCAGGAGTGAGCGAGGTCTGCGGAGTGGCGGGGGGAGGGGGTGGCATGGCTCCGGCGACGTTACCTGCGGGGCGAGCAGGGCGAGACTGATCGGGTCCAGGGCCGCGATGTGGCTGGCGGCCGCACCCGCGCCGCTCACGCCGCCCACCTCAACACAAAACCACACAACACGCTACTCATCGTGCGAGGGACAGCCCGCGGCCGCGCCCCGACCCTCAATGTCGCTCCGCGCACTATTCGACCAACTTCTCTACTAAGCGCAGCCGTTGCTTATGAAACCAACTAGAAGCTCCTCAAGGAGTACAGAGAGGCGGCGGTGCGAGGAGGGACCCCGAGGAGATCGGGCCGCAACGTTAGCAATAGTGAGAATAGTGAGGGAGTAATATATCTCAGTGATTAAGTTGCACTAAACCGCTTAACCCAGTTCATACAAGTGTGAGTAAAATTGGAGAAAGACATGCCTCTTAAAGAACCAATTAAATTGTACTATACAGACATGCTCAAGCAATTTAAAGCGATCGGCCTTCGGTAGAACGTATTTAATTTGCACTTGCAGCGTTTTTTACTACACGAAATAAATAATTCAAAAGTACAGATATCTAGTATTAGATAAATTTAGAAGAAATACATAGTCGTTACCTGAAACCGTTCACCGTACTTAAAACAAGGGGCATCGTTTATATAGAATTTTCAGTTTTATATAGAATTTTTATTTTAAATAGACACATTGATATTTTTTGTACATGCTTCTTTATGTTGTTAAATTTATTATTTATTAACCCTATATTTATAGAAGGCTCCAATATCTACATTTAGCAAATTACATAGAAAGCAGCAAATCGCGTGCAATAAATGTCTACCCGGTGAGGGCCGATCGCTGTAAGCGTTATTTCAGTTATAGCTTATATTGAAGATGGACTTACAACGGCTGGGACCTGGCCAGGGAGCACCTGGCCCGGCGTAAGGCCCATCTGCTGCATCAGGGCGTTCTTTAGTGCTAGATGATTCCGACCGTTAATCAACAGCTGATCCTTAAGATGCTGCGGGGGGTGGAAGTACTTGCAGGGTGGCTTCTCTCGGTTACACCGCCCCTGAAAATATAAACAAGGAAAGATATTAATTATTGTTAATTAGAAAGTAAAAAAAGGTTTTGATGAATTAAAATTGGTAATAGCATGTAGTAATGTACGTCATTCGAGTAGAAGCTTGTGCCGCAATGAATATTTCGCTTATTTTCGGCATCAATGAGGCGAAAGATAATTGCTTTCAGAATCGAAACCTCCCCGCCGCACCCGCCTATGATGATTTATTTACAGCCGCGTAATTAACTGTCTCACTACGTGACAGGAAGAGCTTCGGCGACGTTTTATCTGTAACGTCAAGCCCCATGCCTTATTTTTTATTCAGGGAAAGGAAACGAAAACGAGCTTATCGCTGTTTTCAAGAAAATACTTAAACAAACAAACTTCAACTAGATATAAAAAATTCAGTTACGAAGTTACTGACTGATAACGTCAAGGGTGCGATATAATCTTCCATAACTTGTTGTAAACTTTTAAGAATTAAAGGATTTTTTTAATTAATATGTTAATGTTGACATACATTTTTGGAAACAATAATTTATTATTTTTTAACTCTTAAAATATTGTTTTGACAATTCTGATGACGAAATATAAAAAATTTTATTAGTTTATGTAAACCCAACCATATTTTAATGGCTCGGCAATAACACTTATGACCGTAAAGTACCAACAAATAGACTATAGAGGGATAAACCCAAATTTTCCGTTATTAAACTTCGTTGATGCGTGCTAAAACTGACTTGTAGAAGCAGTCGGCTGCATTTAGATTAACTTGTTACTGGCAGACATAATGTTAGTTAGACTGTCCTCTCGCAGTTAACTCTGGATAAAGTTATTATTTCCTGTTACGCTGCACCGTCTACTTAACTGAGTTTCGATTCCTAGCAAGCCGTTTGTGAAACTTGAATGGGTGATCATGTTTCCATCTTAACTATTATAACTCCGTTTAGAGCGCACTATTAACTATATTGATTTCTATTTGATTTAAAATACTTGAACAAATTATAATGATTGTACTATTATTTGAACATTTGGATATATTTATTTAGGATAAGCGGAAGGAAAACATTGAAATAATATTTTTTTGTTGTTTAGGAAAAGATTAAAACGGAAAACGAAGCGCGACGGTTCTGACAGGAAAGGATTAACTGCAAACCTTATCGTATTACACGAAAAATACGCAAGAGGAGGAAGAGAGGAGGGGTAGGCCCGATGACATAAATAATTGATATAAAAACTTGTATGAAATATTGTATGATACACGTAATAGTTTTAGAGGTTGCGGGCGCATGCAGGTGGACACATCGATTAGTGTGACAGACGGCCGCGTGACAAATGGCGCGTCGACTCAGACGAATGGCGGCCGTACCAACCCCCCACAGCCCACTGTACACACAATGCATTAATTGCTATCCCACTATCTTTCTGCTATTCACACACCATCGATTAGTTTAAAACCATAGACAAAAGTACAGAACACGTTTTATTACAAAGGATGCCATAACTATGTATGTTTTATCCAATGAAAACATGAGTTGTTGTAGTTGTATAGACAATAAATTAATTAATTGAATAACAAAGGAGCTTATGACAATTTTTTCTATCTTTAAAATTATCATAAGTTTATTAAGAAAGATTAATTTCAAATTTTTATATATGTATTTAAGACCTATAAATTTCAAACGAAGTAAGGAGCGTCTTATGTTATTTTATTATCTATGGTAAAATGACTTCAATGTAAAATGAGCTAAGGCGTTCTTGTCTAACAGAGTCGAGTGAAGCGGCTGAGTGCTCTTTAAAGCTGTTAGTCGTGTAACGAACGGCTCTCGAGTACAGCATAGTGCAATGCAGTTGCTGCAGTCGGCACGCGCCAGCACCTTCGTTACTGTGACTGCTTACAGACCGACCACTCCGAATGCTACATGTATGATGGACTCCTGCCTGTGATGCTACATTTTACAATTCCTTTTAACTATCGCTCAAAAATACATTCCAATGATCGCCGACCCATTAGTAAAAGATTTAAAATATAGAAATTTGAAAGGAATTTCTTATATATCGAGGAATAGCTTTTTTTGACCATACGATTATATAAATGTAGCACTGAAAATAGATATACTAAAAACGGAATTACAAAGAAGTAGTTCTTGTTATTTTTGTATGAATGCAAGGCGTGCAAATCACAATTACCTAATGATTGACAGAATTAATTGATTGGCATGTCGTCGCCAAAGGATGATATGTAGTAAGCGAGCCGGTGTACTCCGCTATTCTACTATTGGCTGACCTGACACGCGCCACTGCAAATCGACACACGAGGAAAACAATGAGCCGGCGATTAGATGAATGACACGCTCCTGGCTACATTATAGCCCACTTGTACGCACCAAAGTGTGTGCCAAAAATGTTCATGATGTCAAACAGGGACCGGAATAGAAACGGCCAGCGAGACGTGCCAACTCTTGTACCTGTGTTTATAGGTGTCCTCTGGATCGCGCGTCTGTGTGTGTCGTCCTCGGTATCCATGGCACGTGGCCACGTGCCCGTTCAGCCGGCTTCAACATTTCGACTATTTGATAAATTTATAGCACATGCTAGTGAGAGAGTGTAATAAAGATGTTTCATGGGTTCTTTACGTTATATATCAGCTGGCCGAAAAGAAATTCGTCTTATTTGAATTTAAATTATTCTTTGAAAATTTGTAGACAAAGTTTAAATTGTTATATTCAAACTGTTAATGCGATCAGAATCGAACATCCCACTTCCGGATGCCACATATAATTTTTTCGTTAAAATGAGGGAAGGTGAAATCTAATTTGCAAAATTTTGCGGCTGAGAAGGGAATTAGGTGAGCGAAGTCAATTCTGAAAGTAAGTAGAATTTGAATTTAAAATGATTTATAGAGGCTCAGGGGAGTGGCTAATGAGCCGACACGCGAGAGGGGCGCGTGTTTACGCCTCGCGCGCTCGATTTTTTATTTCGATCTTTGGGCGGCCCCAAGCACGACTGTTCTGAGTGTGCACTGATCAGGACATAAAGGACATTATTTGACACAAGGTCATTCAGCCCAAGGCAACTGAGTCAAAATCAGGAACGATAATATTTCACAACAGCGAGGAACAATAAAAGTAAACAATGGGGTGGTTTTTCTTAACTACTTCAGAAAGAATCTTAAATCAAAATTATTTACACTGGTGAAGTTCCCAGCAAGTTTTCATCGCGGTGCCGTAGCTTAATGTTAAAATATGCATTCGTTCGCAGAGTTATCTCGGCCACTTTTGCTGTTGCCGGCGGCGGGCGGTCAGGAGTTGTTTATCCCGGATTTGATATTAGTTGCACACATTTAAATGCTAATTTAGAGTTCTGATGCTAGAAGCGTCCCATATCATTATAATAATATGATGATTATGTACATGTTTAGAAAGCCCTAATTCAAAGTCAAACTATTATAAGTATAATTAATCATAATTACATTTGCTGACATTCGAATGGTCGTTAATTAAGATTCGGTTAAAAATAGACGATTTTGATTGGATGAATCTCAAAATAGTAATAAAGCTAAGGTTAGCAAGTGGTGCGGGGCGCTAGATTAATGCAACGGAAGCAGGCACGACTTCTCCAGGTGTTTCATTAAATTGCGCGCGGCGCCTCGGCCGGCTCGTACGGCCATTATGAAGGCTGTAAGCTCGAGGGCTATTCGCTTTAAGAACGCCCGCGCTACTTTGTAACTGCTTTAATGAATCTTGTTACTTATAGGTTTGCGAAATGGACTGCTTTGACTAATGAATGGTCCAAAGTTAAGTCACATATTGTTCCTAAGTTTTTGACACAATATTTGCATCGCTTACTACATATAATGTCAATATTTGAGCGAAAATCAAAAATAACAAGAGCGTCGTGTTGATGTTTTACGTAATGAATTGTGTTATATTAAAAGTAGCGTTCGTTCGCAGTAGAACGTAGCCAAACCGCGACGAACGGGCTGTCCAGCTACGACCTAAGCTGTTAAGCTGAACTGGTGCAGTAATTAGTTTAAGCAGACGAGTACTGTCACGTGCGACACGCTTGACATACTTCGATTAACTCGCTTACTGGAATCACTTAACTGACACACTCGCTTCATTATTCAAACAGATTGACAAAGATTTTCGCATTTTGTCTCGGTCTTTTCTAAACTATAATGAATGCAACAATAGTATTTGTCTCAACAATGATTTTTAAGTCGTTTCCAAAACGGTACTTACACGAGACAGGTAAATAATGAGCAAAATTTTTAACAATATTTGAACTAAGAAAGTAGTCACAGAGATAATCTTAGTGAAATTATTTTCACGATAATTCCGTTTCAGCAAAATATAAATTAATTCAAGGTAAATGTAAATTTTATTAATATCATAATGTCTTTCTTGCTTAATATCTATCACGTCTTGTAGTTGAAGGTAAAACGCGATAATTGCCAGGGCAACTAACTACAAAATAAAGAGCTCTTAGAAGGTACGATAAGGGAAGTTTAAGGGGACTTTTCGGGTGCGGGTCGGACCGATAAATTGGGCGGCACTTAATTATGATCTCGGGCGGCATCTTGCAAGCGACTAATGTCCCGGAGTCGTTTAATGCGCTAACTTGTACTCTTAGCTGGGAAGGGGGTGATATATTTCCATCCGAGTTATATGACCATTCTCCTGAGAACGCTATGAAGTCACAGATTCTAGTGTTTTCACTACAGTGAAACCGTATTTAATTTTTTTATCTTAAATTTCGAAATAATTAGCATGCTATAGTAGAGAATTTTCTTTAATATTTGCTATAACATTTAAAATCATATTTTGACTTAGAAAAAAAAAAAGAAATTAAATAGTATATTTATACAAGCTCAAGAGATTAATAAGATAAAAACTAATATTTTATCATATAAAAGCTAAACAGATAATAAAAGTTAAAATTTCCTTTACAGGAACATTGAATGTTATTTAGGATAGTGCAAAATGGACGATTCCAGTAGACTTAGT